AATCAAGTCTTAGCTGTAGCCCTAATATAACTTGTGTTTCTACTGCATGTACTCTGGCTTTCTAAAGCAAAGTAATTGAAATCATCATGTTTTCTAAATCCTAGTGACTTAAGGTACTCATTTCAAGTCTCTAACCTTGGTGTTGTTTTTATTTGCTCTATCCCTTGGTCTCTGTGTGAATTCCCTGTGTCAGTGTTTAACATTGTACTTTTCTCAGAGAAATCTCAAGGCTGTTGAATATTAACACACTCAGGTTCACACACTCCCAAAAACAACCCAAATCTTTTTCAGCTTGCTTTCACAAGGCCGGGAACTTTCTGGAGAGCTTTTAACAACATCCAACGTAAACCTCTTCCCACCGCTTTGTAAACCTAGAGAATACACGGGCTAGGCTCCAGGTTCTCGCTTCTCCTGTCAGTCGTTTGTAGTCACACACACGGGAGGTATGTTCAATGATTCCCGTGGAGGTCGTTGTATCTTTGAAAGCGTTCCTTCCCTCTCCTCTGTGTACTTACCCACCAGTGTCCTGAGCCCAGGGGCTAGGGGAGTCGACCCCCGCTGATCCGTGAGGTGTTTTGGTTCTGCAGGGGAATGTGCTGTGTCTCAGGTCTGGTCCAGATCAGGTTGTTTGCCCCCCCCCCCCCCCCCCCCCCTCAAGGCATGTGTTACATTTGGATGGAGCTTTTGGATTGCTGACAGGGCCTTCAAGGTTCAAGGCTTTTATTTGTCATACGTACGTAGCTACAGTGTAGTTATGTCGATGAAAATCTTAGGTCACATGCTCCTCCAACAGGGCAACACAATAAAACAGATAAAATAGTGCATGTAAATACAAAAACAATTGTGAAATAGTGCAATAAGAGTCCATATACAAGTGATTTGAATATGATATATTAGATACATAATTAGTAAGTTGCAGCCAGATGAATGTTATGGATGTTCTTTCAAAAGTTCAGGTGTTTAACATTCCTATGTCCCAAGGCACTCACTCTGATGACGTTTCCAGTGTTAAACAATGGAAACATAACAATAGAGAAGAATGATCATGTTTCCATTTGCCTGACCTCATACCAGTCACATGTCCACACAACGAAAGTGCTAAAGTCACTGCTGAGCTATAATAACGACAATAAGGGGAGATCCCCCATAATGCTCACCATTCACAATGTGTCGTGTGCAGAGAGGTGTTTCATTATTCGTCAGTTCTTATCACAATACAAAGATACTTGACTTCTCAAACATTAATGTGAAGATAAGTATCTGCAAATACTCCGCCTCTGTGATGCCGTGGAAAAACAGGTTGGCTGCCACTTCTTCCCCGAGAACTTATAATAGGCTGGTTGGATGTTTGTCAGCTCTAAAAGTGAATTGGGTCCATATTTCGCCCCTAGCGCCAGTTATGTTGCCAAATATAGAGCTGGAATAATTAATCAACCGCACACTAAAGCTGCAGCCTGCAAAATCACCATAGAGTGGAATCATCACCTCAATAAAACGGCAAAAACTGAACAGTACAACCTTCATGTTGGTAGGATTTATAATAATGTTGTATTAAGATTGGTGTTGTTTTGTCCTTACTACAACTCTTCTTACTGCAAACATTTGGAAACACTCACTTTTCACAGATTTGTTTTGCACTAGTTTAACTTCTCACATAGAAAAAGGCAGAGTTGTGCTAATAATCTGCAGCCTCTCAGTTGAAGACACACAGAGAATGAAAACTGGTCCTTGCTTACCATGCTGCGAATGGATCTGGCCCTTCCTACATCCAGGACATGGTTAAACCGTACACCCCAGCGCGTGCACTACGCTCTGCATCAGCCAAACGACTCGTTGCGCCCTCGCTGCGAGGGGGACCCAAGTTCCCATCGGCAAAAACACGTGGGTTTGCTATCCTGGCTCCAAGATGGTGGAATGAGCTCCCCATTGATATCAGGACAGCAGATAGCTTGCACATCTTCCAGCGCAAACTGAAAACTCATCTCTTTCGACTCCACTTCGAGCGATAGAACTATTAACGAAGCACTTTTATACTAATAAAGGACTGGCTTATCTAAAGCCAGTTGAGTAGCACTTGAAATGTTTGGCTCTATGAAACCTGATGTACTTATATGATTCTGTTTTCTTCAAGGTTGTGTTTTCCTGGTCGAATGTACTTATTGTAAGTCGCTTTGGATAAAAGCGTCAGCTAAATGCAATGTAATGTAATGAAAACAAGACCCTCAATTGATGATTTTCAGTGGCACTCTCACCACCTGGCTTTTATGCAAGGTGTATTTTCCTGACCCTTTTCAAAGTCTTGTTACCCTCACATTTGATTCTCTCACACACACATTCTGCAAAGTTGTTTACCCAGAGTATTAACTGACCTCCCTGCTCCTTAGCCAAACACCTCAGCAGGAAGCAACATTACCTCCCCAACACTGGCCCGCCGCCACAGCATTGTAATGGAGAAACCTTGGCGTAAATCTACACTCATGTAAAAACTAAAAACACAATGCATGTTAGATCAAGGACATCGGCTACACTGGAAACACCCAACACTACAGCCATGAGAGCGACTACTTTTTAATCAAACACTTCCACATGTGTTTGCAGGTATCAAAGTCAAAGTCAACTTTATTGTCAATCTTCCAAATCAAATCAAATCAAGTTTTATTTATATAGCACATTTATAAACGATTTTTGGTCGAGTCAAAGTGCTGTACATATAATAAAATTAGCCTACAGTAGAGACACTTTACAGCAAATACAACAGCACAGATTGTTCAGAATATCAGTATGAGAAAAACGACACCCTCTGTCCCAGTTTGTGTGTACAGGCAGAGAGATCGAAATACTGTTTCCCACAATCCCGAATATAAAAACAAATGTATATAAAATGTAAAAATATGTGTGCAAATATGTATATATAATATATATATATATATACACAGTCAAAGACACATTTTTACATGTGCACACATTAAGACCTAAATAAAAACACAACAATCAATATATACAACATAACGGTCACTTCAATATTTTGAGAATGTGCATTAGTGCAGATTAGAATTGCATTAGTGCAGATTATCCATTGAATGTGCATTATTGTCCATAGCAGCGTAACAAGTGTCTGGTGCTGGATTTGAGTGTCTGAGTGTGTGGGGGCGTTATAGTCCAGTGGGGGCAGGGGGGAGAGGGGGCAGAGTTCAGCCTCCTGACAGCCTGGTGGTAAAAACTATTGCCATTAACTGATTGATTGATTGATTGAATTAGCATCCTTATTAATTATCTACTACACACTATGGACTGAGTGGCGCAGTGGGCTGTGCGTTGATCATCAGATCAAGGGTGGCGTTGGGGAACTCCAGTTCGAAACCCGCCCCCGCCGCCAGGCCGTTGTGTCCTTGGGCAAGACACTTCACCTGAATTTATGGGTACTGTCCACAGTACATGACCGTTACATGTATGATACTGTATGAGTGTAATGTGTACTTGTAAAGCGCTTTGATCATCAGATCAAGGGGGCGTTGGGGAACACCAGTTCGAAACCCGCCGCCGCTGCGTCTTTAAAGCCGTTGTGTTACGGCTTACACTTCACCTGAATTTGCTCACAGTACATGCAGGGGCGGCGCCAGGGGGGAGCTAGTGGATGCTGAAGCACCCCCCAGGATTGCCAAAGCACCGCCTAAGCACCCCCAAGAAGTATGTTTTTTTTTTTTTTATTTAAAAAAATGATTATTATTATTATTAAATTAGAAAAATTATTGATTACATCAATGCATATGTGAAACAAACATGTTTTACCAAAAACATAAAGCCAACACAGGTGATATGATTAGGCCAATGGCCAGCACCCATTCGATTTTTGACCTACTCATAGGCTAAATTACTTTGTGACACTTGAGTGACTTCCTGTTAGCTAGAGCGCCAAATGATTTGCTAACAGCAATGTGAAAGATGGATCGTTTTTTAGTCCTTAAAAGTCCACGTGTGGACACTCAATCAAAACCACCTGAAAGCGAGAGGGATTCTGCACATAATAGCCTAGCGTTGTGAGTACAAGTAGCTTCTCTGGTCTCTGTGTTTCATTCAAGCTCTGCTCTGTGTGTGTGTGGCACGAGCCATTTTGTGTGCGTGTGTGCGCGAGCGAGAGAGAGAGAGCCTCGCGCACCGGTGGGTATCTACTGGAGATCGTTGTGGTTAGCATCTGGTGCTAGCTAGCCAAGCTAACGGGTATAAGGAGCTTGTTCAACAACAAGGTGGAGGGAGAACTCTCTCCTGTCAGACGGAGAGTCTCAGATAACCTCAGCTCAGGTGAAGTAAATGACTCTCAGTGTTGAGATAGTTAACTTTAGTCTAGTTATCTCAGTGGGTCTCAAACGATTAGTTTTAAAAGGGTGTGTGATTTGTAAAATGTCTATGAAGAAATAGAAAATATGTTTACAGTTCTGTTTCATATGGGTGTTGTATCCATAGATCTCTTAATGTTGCTCTCAAAGTGCACCAGATTGATGCTTTTAACTTCAATATTTTAAAAAATCTTCCCGGGGGAGCATGCCCCCGGACCCCACTAGAGGAGGTGTGGTCCACCCCCTACTTGTAAAAATAGCACTTTACCCCTGCTTACACCTATATGCCGTGAGCTGATTATCGAGCCTTCATTGTAACAGTCGCGGGTACACTGTGTGCGTGTGGGGAGTGTTGCATTAGAAAATTCAACTGTAGCGCTGGTGCATTAATGGAAAAACCTTAATGTTTGAGCACCCTCTATGAAACGTCAAGCTACCCCACAGCACCCCCTAGAGAACATCTCTGGCGCCGCCACTGAGTACATGACCGTTACATGTATGATATGTGTGTATTGTGTATTTGTAAAGCGCTTTGAGCATCTGAAAAAGTGCTTTAATAAATGTAAGGAATGATTAATTATTAATTACTATGAACTCCACCCAGTTATTAATTCATAGTCAGTCTTTGTTTGTGTGTTTCTGATTTAGTGTGTTAATGTTCCTCAGGTGTTCCAGGACCTGGGTGTGTTGGTGCTGTCCGGAGCCTCTGAGGGCTACAACGTGTGTCTATTTGCTTACGGACAAACAGGATCTGGAAAGACGTACACCATGATGGGGACACCGGTGAGGAATCACTGCACGGCATTATCTCACAATGCACTTTCAATGCAAAGCAACTTTTACACAAATTGTAAAAACATGCTCGGCTGCAAATAGGCAAATGTGAATATTCTGTAATTATAAGGTACGTTTATTTATACAGCACATTTTCAGACACAGAGGCAATTCAAAGTGCTTTACATTAACACTTAAAGGTGGGGTAGGTAAGTTTGAGAAACCGGCTCGAGATACACTTTTTGTTATATTCCATGGAATGCTCTTAGCATCCCGATAGCAATGAATATCTTAAGTGCTTTGACAAAAAAGCCATTAAAAAAAAGTCATCTGTGGAAGCCGTAGCGCTGTAAAAAGCACGACCAATCATTTTAGCCGGCCCGGCTAAAGTAACTGGATGGCCTACCTGCCTGTCAGCCTTCCATCTGTGCACAAACTTATCTCGTGCCCTCATTGGTCATGTGCGCGTTCGTGTGTGTTGGAGGAGGGGCTCTGTAAGGAAGTGGCAGATTTTCTCCGGTTGTGTATTTTCAAATTCTGGCGCACTCGAGCCGGTTTTTCAAATGTACCTACCCCACCTTTAATGAGAAAGACATGAGAAAGGAACACAATAAATAAACATAATGGAATAACAGATTCATAAAACCCATACTTAAAAGAGATACAGAATAGTTTAAAAACAACATTGTAAATACGGTAGGTGCCAAAAGTAGTGTTTTTAGCGTCGACTTAAAATAACTCAGTGTTGGTGAAGACCTCAGGTTTTCTATAAGTGTTTAGTTGCGACCTAATTCTACATGGAAACTGTCAAAATGTATCTGTACCATAGACTGTATATATAAATATCTGTACACTAGGGCTGCACGATTTTGGGGGGAAATCTAATTGCGATTTTTCTGACATATTGCGATTGCGATTCGAATTGCGATATTTGTTTTTAAGCGACCCAACGGAAGTTTATGGTAAAATGCGGCCATAACTCCGGCTAGGAAGGTCGTATCAACGTACTCCCGTCTCTAGCACCCCTGCAGCCCGAGCTACGAGTGAAAAAACTAAACTTACATGAAACTTCCGTTGGGTTGCTTTAAAGTCAAGCTTCAGTTTAAGATTCACCCTGTAATAGAAACATGTGATGGAGCATCACTAACCTGACCCAGATGGTTTGTTTCACCAAACCATCTAAAGCTCCATTGGAAGCCATTTGGAAAGGGCAGGCACTTACAGAAGCACTTGGCAGGTGATTGGATCAATCTGTCTATCACCTTCTATCATGGGCTACTTCTGATTGATTAGCAATGGCTGGTACATGTGGAGCACAGCACTTCTGATTGGTGTGGATGACACACAAGAAGAAAAAAAAAATGTTAAAAAAAATCGTAGGCTTTGCGATTTGATAATCGCATCATTTCAAATCGCGATTTCGATTTAAAATCGATTAATCGTTCAGCCCTACTGTACACTCACTTTCTGTTTTGTTTGTATCATCTCAGGACTCCATTGGCTTGACTCCTCGGATCTGTCAGGTAAGATAAGATAGGACTTTATTTATCCCGAAGGAAATTGTTGTGCCAGAGTTACAAAAATACCCTTCATTTGATTGTTTAATCAATGTAAAGAGCACCAGGGTTGGGTGAGAATTCTAGTTATTTCCAACCGGCAACTGTCAGCCCAACAACTGACTTTACACTTCCGTTTTCACATTCGATCCTACAGCCACCACTATAGCCTATTCATATAGTGCTTTTCATCAGGCATAAGGGCGCTGGGGAGCCTTCTGTTCACTGTTCTGACACCAGTGCCTTCCTGGAAGTCTTCCACTGCAAAAATAAGTCAGAGCATCATGAAAAAAGATACTTGGTGCAGCACTTTTTCTATACACTCTCTCCTCATTAGTAACAATTGATAAAAAGATGCTGGCACACAGAAAATAAATGCTATTTGGACACCTTTCCAACTACCCTGTTGTGTGAAAGACTCGAGACAAGAACATGCATAATATGGCCAAACTCCAGCTGCCCGTTCCTATTTGCCCTTGAGTTGAATTTAGCTTTTTCAGGTTATTTTATACCGAGTTACATTCTTTTTGCAGGAAGACCATTGAATTAGCTTATTAAAATGACAATCATATAAAGATCCCCAGGCGATGGACAAAGCCAATCACCAAAAGGCCAAATATTAATCAAATCGCCGAATCCTGGTGAGCTCACTGATAATTGAACTACTTGAATATTGGATGTTTTTGTGTCAAGTAAATTTCAACTTTTCTGACAGGGTCTCTTTAGGTCTGAAGACACTTTTCCTGATGCGCAAAACTCAAGCAGAGTGGAGATCAGGTACTGATGTTCATTAAAATGTCTCTTTTTAATGACTGCATTTTAAATTGGTTTTCCCTGTGTTGACATTCAAATTTCACGAGTACTTAGGAAGTAATTATGCTGCAAAGCTTCAGGCAAAAACAATGCAAATCAGAAACTGGATTTTCTTGTCAGTGTTGGATGGATCAATTCACTTCTTGTAGGCAATGAGGGCAGATTTGATACCTTATTCCATTCATCACAAAGTAAAATGCTTTGTTTTTACGATTTGAATACTATTGTGTACATAATGTAATCTATGTTTCTGGGTCATTTGGTTGATAAAAGCAGACAATGTAACCATGACTACGACCCGGTTCTCATAAAGCCAGGGTCCATAGTGTTATTTTGACCCCCCTCTCCTTTGTCTCTCTGTACTTTCAACTTCCACTAAAGGCTAAATGCCAGGAAGGTAAAGTTGTTCTGGAAAATGCCACATGATGGATTTACAGAACAACAAACATGATGTGATATGACATAGGTTGTTGACATTAAATGAGCCTCATTGACATCTTATTGAGTGTGTGTCTTCATAGCAGCATATTGTCTTATCCCTGTGTCCCTGCAGCTTCCTGGAGATCTATAACGAGCGTGTACGAGACCTGCTGAGAGGAGGCGAGCAGAAGAAGAGATTCTCCCTGAGAGTGAGAGAACACCCTGAGAAAGGACCGTATGTACAAGGTGAGTGTTTGTGCCACCTGCACATGTATGTTGTAAAGGGGGAGATGGCAAAGACAGACTGTCATTCCCAGGACTAAACTCTGCTGGACTTTAAAAAGCACACTTAACTTAACTTTTCAATTACTATATGATCCATAACATGATGATTCTCCCAATACAACGCTTGCAGTAGAGTCACATCACACTTTCCCACACATTTTGCACTGTAAAAGACACGTACCTGTACACCTCCATACAGGATATGCACTCAGTACACAGGGAAACACAAAGGCATCATTAAACACAAAGCAAGTACACATAATGAACTGTGATTTCATTTAATTTGTAATTGCACAAAATATTGAGCTCAAAATTAACAGATTAATTACGCTTTTTGACTCAGTCTTACTGATTTAACACTCAACTACACGAGGCTTTCAAATCCCTTTACCTCAGTCAAAGGAGAATTAACTAAGATAACAAAGCTGTGCACAGGAAAAAAGTAAATATTCTTGCAGCAACTGTTTGTCTAAGACATCAATTAGGACTGCATGCTTGAGTATTATGGTCTGTCCGTGAGCTTTATGAAATATCCATTTATCATTTAAGAAGTGTATACAAACACTCAGCAGGGTCATATAGTTGGGGCATTTGTCTAAAGCACTTTGCTTTGAAGGGTCTGAAGATGAGATTGGAAATGAAAGCTTAAAGGTCCCCTATATTGATGACTGTTTGTCAATATATATTTACAGAACATGTCTCTGAAGTGTTTGGCTCCAAACGCCAAACAGATCATTGCAGCATTACCCATAATCCCCTCTGTTTCAGCCCTGTTTCCAAAGTGCTGATTCTCTGTCTGTTACTTTAGATGAAAATAAGGAGCCCCTCCCCACGCCCCTCTGAGAGACATTTGGTTACAAAGAACACAATGGTGCTCTAGGAGGAGATTCAGGTGATAAGGTGGGGGGGGGGGGGGGGTAACCGTGGTTGCTGATTGGCTAATGGTTACACAAGCCAAAAAATCGTAATGACATCACAAAGTGGCCAAAATCTGATCAGCTCATTTTCAGACAGGTTTTTATAGAAATGGATCAGGACAAAAAGAGAGAGAATCTTTGTTCCTGAAACTTTCAGAGTCTCTTTCCACAGAGGGGACACATGTTGATTTAGAAGAGACATGGACAAGTGGATTTTGCTTAATAGATGACCTTTAAATCTTCTTCTCCCTACACTATCATAAACACGCAGGCACATCACTTTGTCAAATGATGGACTTGGACTTGTAACATGGTGTGCAGTATTTTGAGTAATACTCGTGTAATGTAAGTTTAGTTTACAAGTCACTGTGGTACTGTATGCGGTCAGGGATGGGATATTTTCCTCGTCCAGAAGCGTCCGTCCTGGCTCTACACCCACACTCCTCTTGTAGCTTGTCTCTCTCTCTTTTTTTAAATGTCTTCCTATGTCTCTTTATCCGCTTTTTTTACTCTCCCTCTCATCCGCCCCCATCTCTATGTATAAAGCCCTGCATCCACTCATTGTCAGTCGCACGAGAAATCCCAGTTGACCAGAGGAAGTGAAGTCATTTCCTGGTGGCTCCGAGGAGAACAAAAACTCAGGGCACATTTAGGCCTCAACTCCTCCATCAACACGTGGCCATCAAACAGGGTTTCACTGCCACTCAATTCTGCTAACGTAATTCAAATATTTGTGTGCAATGTTCATATTAAAACAAGGAATAAGTAAACACATGTTCCAGCACAATGAGGCTCTGTGGTAATGGGAGAGAGGATGCGTTTAACAGCCTGTTAAATTGACCTGATTCACGCATGGAAGCAGAACATGGTTCTTTTTCAACGCTGTGGGAACATTTTACAGATCAAGCGTGACAAAGCATTGATGAGACATTTCCTGTTTGTCTTTTCACATTTCTATCTCCCTGTTTTATCCAAATGTCTTTTTCATGTTTGCTGAAGTATTATCAGTGTCAGGTCCCTTTCAGTGTTGTGTTTTTTTTGGGAGATATCTCTACAATCTGCGTGCAAAAAGTGTCACATAGTGAATCTTTATTTATTTAGTTTCACTACTTTAACTAGTGTATCCTTATTATAATGGCAGACAAGCCTAACCAACACATTTTAAACATACTGTATATCGTCTTTTTATTGTTTTAGATTCATACTTTTCAATTTCTTTAAGAAGATTCTGTAAAATGCAGTTTTTCTAGCTCTGAAAATGTTGTTTTATATGCATCTTGATACACAATGTTACACTTAGAAGGATTTTCCATCACGTTTCCACTCTAGAAATCAAGTCAAACAATAAACATTGAGGTTGTTTTAAAAACGTAACTCTCTTGGATTATGTGCTTTAGTTTTCTCAACGTTTTGTTTCTCTTTTTGTTTCCATCAGACCTGTCACAGCACGTTGTCTCGGACTGCAAGCAGGCCATGGATCTTTTGGAGGAAGGCATCGCCAACCGGATCACAGCGGCAACCCACAACCACGACGCCAGCAGCCGGTCCCACGCCATCTTCACCATCCAGTACACACAGGTCCTCCTCTCGCTTATATAGAGCTATAGATCGGTTAATAATCAATCTGCTAATAATCCTCTTTTAGATTTTGCCAAATAGTGCTCCTTTGGGTGCAGATCATGTTTTTAGTATCTGTTTTCAGGTGAAATGTTTATCAATATTTGTAGATTCCAGTCTGAATACTCTCGCCCTTTCTCCACAGGCGATCCTTGAAAATAACCTTCCTTCAGAAACTGTCAGCAAGATTAACCTGGTGGATCTGGCTGGGAGGTAAACTGTTATTTCCTTTGTTGTGTTATTTTCTCAACATGCTTTCAGTCAAAGTCATTGACTAAACTGCCCCCTAGTGGATAGTTGCTACTGCCCTTAGGCAAGGAAAGGAAAGGAAAGGAAAGGCAATTTTATTTATATAGCACTTTTCAGCACGTGGCGATTCAAAGTGCTTTACAGATTAAAAGCAAAAGACATTTAAGAACAAATACAGCATAAATACATTATTAAAAAGGCATTTCAAAACAGGCATAATAAGCAAAGGTAATGAAATAAATTAAATAAATAAACACAGCAGGTACAGAATACATGACTAAAAAGGCATACTGTAGTGGGAGTATGGGCAGCTCAATTAAAAGCAGCGGCAAATAGGTGCGTTTTTAGTCGGGATTTAAAAATAGGAAGTGTTTCGGCGGATGTGCATGATTTTAGGTTTTAAAAAATGTTCACTTCCACATTTATTTTTAGGATAATAATAATACATTACATTTATAAAGCGCTTTTCCTGGTGCTCAAAGCGCTTACAAGCAAGTAAAACAAAATAACAACACAAGTAGAAAGTGCTAAGCTAGGTGGAATAAGGGCAACGGGTTAGTTGATTAGGAGTTGAAGGCAAGAGTGAAAAGGTGTGTTTTGAGGGATTGTTTGAATGATGTGAGAGTGTTGGCAGATCTGACGTGGCTGGGGAGGGAGTTCCAGAGTGAGGGGGGGGCGGGCTGCAGAGAAGGCCCTGTCACCCCAGGTCCGGAGCTGTGTCCTGATGGGCTGCTGTAGGTTAGCTTCAGCAGACCTGAGGCGACGGGTGGGGGTGTGTCGTTGGATGAGGTCACAGAGGTAGGGGGGGGGCAAGGTTGTTGAGGGCTTTGAAAGTGAAAAGTAATATTTTAAAGTCAATGCGGTGTTTGATGGGGAGCCAGTGGAGGTCATGGAGGATAGGGGTGATGTGGTCGGAGCGTCGGGTGGAGGTGAGCAAGCGGGAAGCTGAGTTTTGGACCTATTGAAGTTTTTTAGTATGAATGCAGGTGACCCATAATATTAATAATATAATAATAACAATAATGTTTCTTGAATCAGTGTGACTGACATGAACCTCATATTGTGTTTGTGTTGTGTTTCTCAGTGAGAGAGCAGACCCTCACTACAGCAGGGACAGACTCACAGAGGGCTCCAACATCAACAAGTCTCTGGTCACTTTGGGTATCGTCATATCTGCTCTTGGTAAATTCACATACTATTTATGATTTACATTTGAAGTTCAAGTGACGCTGTCTGGAAAAAAAAGCAGTTCTTACTCCGAAATGAATCTAGCGTTGACCTCCAAAATTCTTTATACTTTTCCTTGATCTCGACAGTATTCACTTCTCTTCTGTGACACACTCTTCTTAAATCCCTCATCCTTTGTTCTTCCTATTCCCTCCGTCTCCGCAGCCCAGAACTCCCAGATGTCCAGCAGCTGTCAGAGTATCAACAGCATGGCCTCTGAGGGCGATGGCAGCACGGGGGGAAGCCACAGCAGCTCCCTGTCTGGAGGAGGAGGGGGAGGAGGAGGAGGGAGGAGGCACTGCTTCATCCCATACAGAGACTCAGTCCTCACCTGGCTGTTGAAAGACAGCCTGGGCGGCAACTCCAAAACCATCATGATTGCAAGTGAGTACAAGAGATTTATTGAATTGTTATTGTTATTTTATTATATCGGACCCAGTGTGATTACAGAGAAAATGCAACACATCAATTATAAAAGGATAGTTATATTATGACAAGCAGAAACCTGAGCAAATCCAATTAATTTAAACATCTGTGTCTATTAGGATCATAAGTTGTTTGTTTTGTTAAAGTAGAGGCTTGTATGTGAAAATTATTTCAAATAGAATCAGTACAACTTACTTTGGAGTAAATTAATTAACTTACAGTTTAAGTAGGTTTTGATTCCATTACCCTTAAATTAGTGACTTAACACATAGTAAGAGTGTATTGAGTACAAGAGATGTAACTATTATAAAAGGACCTTGGCTTTGATTTAATTTTTCAATCTCAAAACAAAAAATGTAGTTAAAGTAAAAAATAGAAAATTACAGGAATAATCGATTGTGAAAATTCAGTTGTACAAATAATGTTAATAAAAGGCGAGAAATGTCTGCATACAATGTCTGAAAGGTGTTTTTTGTAATGTTTTTGTCTCAAATCTTATTACATGTGATGTGTGTTCTAATTTCTATGTGTAACTTTTGCTTGTGAATTTGTGTGTGTGTGTTTGTGTTGCAGCGGTCTCTCCCTCTGCTAACAGCTACAACGAGACCCTCAGCACCCTGCGCTATGCTGCACATGCCAGAAATATTGTCAACAAGCCCCGGGTTAATGAGGTCAGTGGCTGTTAATAGTGCGGTGCCAATACTCAATGTTTGATACAAAAGCTTTCAGCAGCTGTGCTCTGTGTGCAGGATGCCAGTGTTCGGCTGATCAGGGAGCTGAGAGAGGAGATTGACAGGCTGAAGAGCATGCTGCTCAGCTTTGAAATGGTATGGAGGCTTTTTATCGTTACAGCATAGCACTTACTCTCCAGGGGATACACCGACTCTCTTTCTTAGTACTGTAAGGCTTTCAATAAGAGAGATTCCCACATTACATGTTTTTTTAGCAAAGGCTTAATACAGTCCTTTGTGAGATTTTTCTTCCCCTGGGCGGAAACGATTGAATTGAATTGTGACACTTGTGACATTTCCCTATGGCGCAGTATTTTTGTTGATCATTTTTCTCCCTCTCGACTGACAGCAACGTAATCCCAGTCCGTCCCTGAGCGATGAGAGGGATGGAAATCTCTCTGACATCGTGCTACAGAACGAACTGAAGGTAACACAGGGTGGACATGCATGGTTTCATCCACTGACAGATACAGTCGTCCTTGACGCATCATCGTGTGACACTCATTTCACTATAAAGAAATACAGGGCAACATATATTAGGAAGGCTGGGGACAGTGCGCCTCTCTCCTGAAGAATATACCATCTTAACCATCACTTACTTCCTATAAGTCTGTCGTCACAAATGCCTGTACGTCCAAGCATTGTTATCTAGCAGGTGACATTGACATTGATTTCAAAACCCTAGTCAATTCACATGGTTTAAGACATGTGAAAGGTGCATGATTAACACTTAAAGCAGGGGTGGCAAACTCAAATACACAGTGGGCCAAAATAAAAAAATGGGTACTATTTTTACTAGTGGAGGGCCGGACTGGTTCAATGTTTATTGCAAAACTTATTGAAATGAACTTATTGCACATATTAAACCTGGAACTAACTAAGCTTAAATGATTGCCTATAAAAACAACATTAAATAATCAGTTGCATTCATTTCTTATGGCTCTATCTGCAGCTTTTCCTCAGTCATTTCTTATGATTACATTTTCCCACAGGCCAACAACAGCTTCAACAAAACTATTTCCCTCAAAGAACAAACCAAGCATGCCCTGTTGTCTCAAGAAACAAAGTGCAGAAGGAAACATCCATGTAAACTCAGTGTGCTGCTCTGTGATGCTAGTTCAAGCCAGATACTTGGCATCTCATCTTGGGTGCAAGTTCATCAATGTTTGGGGTCAGGCTCTGAGCGGAGGAGATCCTCAGGATGGAGTGAAGGTGTGCGTGCAATATACCGGCGGGCCAGATCTAATAGTAATTAAAAATTATCCTGCGGGCCGAAATTAAATCCACCACGGGCCTGATTTGGCCCCCGGGCCTTGAGTTTGACACATGTGACTTAAAGAACCAGTTTACACAAGCTATGTTGAACACATTTTCCAACTCAATATGTTTCTTTGTAGAAAATGTATACAGAAAAAAGTCTTTGTGAGGTCTGTGGATTTTCTAGGACGTCTTTTCCTAAAAAATAAACCACACAAAAGAACCATCACATAAGCTCCGGTTCAATTTCCTCTGCTGTATTGGTATGGCAGCAGATGTCTCAGCAGTGAATATCACAAACACTTTGGGTACTAGGAGTAATTGTGGATCTTCCTCTGACACATTGTCACTGTTTGTTTTACTTTGAAACCTCTTGGGAAATTAAAGGGAAATATTGCGGTTTAAACTGTAAACATGTATTATGTAACACAGTTAGATATTGTAAATTACAATACAGTTTATCCTATTTTTTTTATACAGGTACAATGAGATGAGTAGAGCTACTCCTTTTTTTTAAGGTGCCGTACAACATTCAGGATAAGACAACATACAAACAACAAGCATTCATTCATTCAAGTGCAGGAATATATTGTTTTAAGTAAAATAAATAGGTTTGAATGTGTATTAAAAAATATATATATACATATTATTTCCTTGACCACAGATATTTACCCCCCTGGTTTTAACCTCCTCTCGTAATTACCTTCCTTAATCCTCATCCTCCTCAGGTGGAGCAGCTGACGAAGGACTGGTCGGAGAGCTGGAGAGACAAGAAGGAGCTGCTGGAGCAGTACAGCGTGGACATCAACCGAGACCGGGCAGGATTCCTCATCAACTCCCTCCGACCGCACCTAGTGACTCTCGATGGGGACGTCCTCAGCACCGGGGTCGTCTTCTATCACCTCAGGGTAACAGGAAAACAAAGACACATCGATGTGTTCGGCCCGTTCTGTGTATCTTTTGAATTGTGTGCAGTGTGAATATTACAATGCAATTATTAGCTTCAAAATGTCTAGTATATGTGTAGCACTTAATATAAATATTAATAATGTTATGCATGCTTGCTGCATTCGATGGTATTAAATGTGTACTTTTACACTCTGTCTCTCTCTTTGTACGTTTCCTTTCATCCCCACACACGCATGACTTGTTTGAACTACATGCTGCAAACTCCCACAAACTGACATTCTTTCCATTTGCTCTACTTTTCTCCAACTCTGAAGTTACTGGTTTGACAGCTGCCTTGACTAAAACCATCTATTTTCTTTCTACTAGATACTTCCCCCCCTCTCCTCCTCCTCCTCCTAGTATTTCTCTTTGTTCTGCTAGAAAAACTCTTGAGAAAAGGTGCGTTTCTACCGTCTGTTCTTTTCACTCTACCCTCCAACTGTCCTGTCGATCTCGTGTGGTGTGTGTGTGTGTGTGTGTGTGTGTGTGTGTGTGTGTGTGTGTGTGTGTGTGTGTGTGTGTGTGGTGTGTGTGTGTGTGTGTGTGTGTGTGTGTGTGTGTGTGTGTGTGTGTGTGTGTGTGTGTGTGTGTGTGTGTGTTGTGTGTGTGTGTGTGTGTGTGTGTGTGTGTGTGTGTGTGTGTGTGTGTGTGTGTGTGTGTGTGTGTGTGTGGTGTGTGTGTGTGTGTGTGTGTGTGTGTGTGTGTGTGTGTGTGTGACAATGCATGAAGCTCGGTTGGATAAGAGGTTCTGAGGCTAGGACTCGGGGGAGCTTAAGCCGTCCTGATTCTGACAATGACAAGCATACCCTTAGGCCTGACAATTACACTGTTTCCTGCATTTGAAGAGTGGAAGCCACCTGGGAACACATGTGGCCCTGACACCATATAAGAAAGCCTTTAATCCCATTAGATAAGAATTCAAAGTAAACAAATGATATTTTTTCTATCAGCTTCGGGGGAGATTATAAGTGAAAGGACAATAGTTATCTGAATCATTGTGTAAAAGTCCTGTCATTATAACCATGTGCTTGTGTTTTGAGCACATTTAGCTAATGTCAACAATGCACAATAGTTGTTTTGTTTATTTAGATTTTGAATATATGTTTAGACAATGCTTTTTTTTCTTACAGGAAGGAGTTACCCACATAGGACCTCAGGAACAGTATAAAGAACCACAAATAGGTATTATTAATTCATTCATTGTCCATGTTTCTCCATCCAGCTTCCTTTTCAAACTCTATAACCAGACTTTTTTCAATGAATTGTTTCACATTACCATCTTACAGCAACACTGCCTTAACGCAGAGTAGAAATGCAGCATACTGGATGCTTTAGAGCAGGGGTGCCAAACCAGTCGATCGCGATCGACCGGTCGATCGCGGGGAGATTCCCAGTCGATCGCGAGATGTGTCTAAAAATAGAACAACAATATTCTGTTTTATCGTTAATGTCCTATAACATAATCTTCCTGTGCCAGAATAATGCACTTGAACGCATCAAAGCTTTGTGATTGGCCGGCGTGACGCCATGTGTCGGGGTGTGGCTTTATGGCAGAAGCAAAAAAGCCCAAAATATATAATTTTCACTCCGAGTGGGAGGATGATTATTTTTGTATCTATTCCAATTCAAAGTCCATCTGTCTCATCTGCAATGCGAGCGTGGCTTTATCGAAGAAGGGTAATTTAGGAGCGGAATTTCAAAACAGTGCACAAACGCTACGAGACGGAATTCCCTCCTAATTCTGCCCTACGCTCCAAAAGGTGAGGGACCTGAAAGGACAGCTAAATGCACAGCAGTCCATTTTCACCAGGCCCAACAACAAGAGCAAGGCTGCTACCAGAGCATCTTATCGTGTCAGTCACGTTCTTGCGAAACACATGAAGTCTTTCAAAGACGGCGAAGTTGTGAAAGAAGCATTCCTGGAGGCTGCTGACACGCTTTTGGGGGACAGTAAAAATAACAGTAGCATTTCAACAGGTTTTTGATATAATAAAAACTCAAGTTAGATACCGTTATTAATCAGCTGTAAGTTTTAGTTTGTTTGAACTTATTCATCATAATTATTGTACAAAATGGTATAAGAATGTAAACTTAAATTGATTATAGTCTATTATCAATACAGGTTAAGAAACTAGTGTTGCTTGCATCCTATTTTAAAGGCATTTCTTTTTATAATCTACTAAAATGCTACAAAAAAAGGGTTTGATTCTATTAATTTTGTCTTTTTTATTGCACTGTTGCAGCAGATTCCTGTGTAGTTTCAGATCTGAGTTGTCTTATTAGTAAGCCTCATTTATACTTTTGTAGCAACACTATTTTTATATAATGGCAAAGAAAGGGTTCAGAGTCTTTCCTTTTTTCCTGTGTCATCTGTGGCAGCACTGTTCAATGTTTCTTGAAAACATTACCCACTGTAGTGACGTGTGAATAAACTCCAACTCTGTATCAACAACACTGTTGTGTAACTTCAGTTAAATACTTGTATGTGTGTAGATTAGAAAGAGGTAAGATAAAGGATCTGCAGTATTTTATGAAGTATTAATCGTACAAAGGTCAGTTTTATACAAGTAGAAGTGTGTATTTACTTGGTAGTAGGCTGTCAGTAATGGCTACGCCTCTCTATTTGGACTGGTAGATCTCGGCAGACTGGCAACTTTAAAAGTAGCTCTCGGTTCAAAAAAGGTCGGGCACCCCTGCTTTAGAGACTAAACATGCATTGAATGTTCACTTTTAATTAAATGCTGCATGTTGTGCTGAATATATTCATCAGTACAGTAGCTGCATCTGTAAAGCTTTCTCAATCTGTAAGTGCAATTGTGTTTCTTGTGCGCTCTGCTTGTAGTTCTGCAGGGAAGTGCCAGCTGTGAGATTGAAAACCACGGAGGTGTGGTGACACTCAGGCCGCTGCCCGGCTGCGTCTGCCTGCTCAACGACAGAGAGGTCACTGAGCCCTGCAGACTGGCTCAAGGTCAGCTCCACAGTTTGTTCCCACTGCATTTTGAGTCAAAGCACACAGCAAAAGGGAGCTGTCGCAAGTTTTTATTTATATGTGATCTTAGCCTGTGAACTTGCATACCACTTTTATTTGGCTCATAATAAACACACATTTTTATGTTATCATCCTAATGCAGCTATCGTCACACTCGTGCCTTTGGAAGATTAGCTCATTTATGGCATGTTTAAGAGGGAGGAAGATAAAGTGATAAACCACAAGATTTTAGTTCTGGTTACTTTGGTGACTATTTGGTTGTTTATATATAACTTGTTTTCTGTCACTGCATGGCAATGATATATAATAATATAATGAGTGTACATTAATGAATTGAATCATTGCAAAACATGTATCGAAACTGTATCGCAGGATGTATCGCAAAATCAGACCCAAGCAGACTTGACACGAAGCATTAAGGCTATCATGTAATAAGTGCACTATGTTGATTATCACATATAGGTTAATGTACAATTATATACACACATTGAACAGATAACATATAGGGGTTAATGGATAATGTTATACTGTATATGCATGCATATTTAAAGGGGCACAGATAGATTCCTCCCAAGGGTAAACATAGACACGCACTTGCTACACTGCAGCCATGTCCTCGGCTTGCAGGATGAGCACAGCTTCAGATGTCTCTCTGTCTCCAGGGACGGTGATCACCTTGGGAGGAGAGCATAAGTTCCGCTTCAACCACCCGGCAGAGGCAGCCGTCCTCCGGGAACGCAGACGGGTGGGTGCTGCTCCTCTGACAATACAAATGATGCTATGGTTAAGATGGCAATCTGGATAATATTAATGATAAGCAGATGAATGAGAGGCAGCAGTAGATGATAATGTGAAGCTCTTGATACATAATATAGGGCGCTCAACACTAGGGGTGTAACGGTTCACAAACATTTCGGTTCGGTACGTACCTCGGTTTTTTGGTCACGGTTCGGTTCGGTACGTTTTCGGTACAGCAGAATTTTTTTTCACAAAACATATATCTATATTTTTATTATTATTATTAAACTGTGAATAATGTATTCACTCAAATAAATACAAAATATAATAAAATGAACATTTAAGGTGCAGCATTTCGATGAACTGAAATAATCTGTATTTGAACTGTACTAGCACCTAAGCAGCCAGCTTGACATTAGGACTTGCTTGTCATTGTATTTTCATGTTTTTTTAAAGAAAGATGAACTTGTCCACATTGCTTGCCGAAAGGGCAGATCTGCTGGCACTAACAATGTCTCCTGCTGTGGAGAACACCCTCTCTAGGGACAGAGGTAACAGATACAGCCAGGTAGCGCTTTGCTAACATGGCAACATAAGGATATTTGGCGTTTGTAATAGCTTTGGCTCGGTCTGAACTCTCTGCGAGTGGTGGAGGCTTACATGCTAGTGGGAGTTGGGTTTGCACTTCAGTCTTTTTCTTTTGGTACCGGTGATATTCACGTTCGGGTGATGCCTTTTCAAGAGTGTGCAAGTTTGATGTATTGCCAGCCGCGTAACCAATTTTAGTTGAACAATGCCAACAAACAGCTTTGGTTCGGTCCACCTGTCTTTGTCCGTCATCCTTGTACGTAACTGCGAAACCAAAATGAGCTCAACTTTATCTGCGTTCGCCATTAATTTTCGACAGTTGCTCAAATTACTGACTACATTTGAACGCATCCCTCTGTCCAGCTCTCATAGTATGCCTCTCATCCAATGAAATGACTTGCTCGCTCTATGACGCGTTGAACCCAATGTGAGCAAATTACTCTGAATGCTGCGACGCAGCACCTGAGATTACTTCCAAAAAGTTATTCACGTTCTCAATTTTTCACGTTTAACATTATATTCGTTCGGTACACTTCGGTACACACCTGTACCGAACCGAAGGGCCCGTACCGAATAATTTCGGTACGGGTACGTGTACCGTTACACCCCTTCTCAACATAGGGAAGTGGCCTGTGTGAGTGTGTGAATGTGTATCACTCCTGATTAGCTGGTGAAACCTTGTATGGTAGCCTGTGTGTGTGTTGGTAAGATTGGAAAAGCCAATTTCAATTAACATAATTGTTTCTGATCAAAAGATTACCTGTTTAGAAGATTTAGCTGGAACATTTTTATTTTTCATAACTGGTGAATATTAAAGTTGATATTTTCTTTGCTATTTTTAGGCAAGTGAAGGTGGGATGAGCTGCACCTACATTGATCCATGTCCCCTCACCCCGGACCAAAGGTAAACGCTGCATCCAGAAATACAAAAACAAATGTATCCCTCTGTTACTGTATGTGTATTGTGAGAGCTTATTCTGCCAACTCACAGCATACATATTTGATAACAGATACATATGGTTTGAAATGTTCACGCTTCAGAAATGGGTCAATGCTTCAAACGTATTCAGTTGGTTACAGTGGTTGCGTTAGACTTTTTCGTTGTCCGTCATTTTAACGGACAGGATCGTAAAATTTCCGTCATAATCCATTATTACCCGTCATTTTATTTTTCATGTTTTAATGATGAGATGAGACATATTTAATATTTATGTTTGGGTACTGAGCAGCAAATCACTCATTTTTTTAATGATTCATACAGTACAGAACTTTTAAGGGCATGGAGAAACAAAAAGATGAACAGAGACACCGACCGTGTGGTCACTTTTCATGTCAACACGAACATGAATGATTTATTTTTTCCTGCACTGACAGACAGCAGAGGGGGGCAGAGGCCGCTAAAAACACCACGACCATTGTGCCTAAACAGGCAAATGTGAACAATGCCATCGTTTTAAATGAGACAATTACAATCTAAATATGAACAAAACATTTACAAGAATAACTCAATTGCCTGCTGTAGCCTGAACGCTGATTTCTGCATCGTCGTGCACCCTCGGACAAATCCGTTACTCGTCTTAGCTTTTCTACAGATGTCGCAGAACATTTTGCCATCTTCCCTCCTCAGCCACTCTTGCTCCCACTGAACCCGGTACTCCCGCTTGAACTCCTTGCCACTGGCTTGCCCCTCTGCCGCTGGCTGAACGTTGTCAGTTTTAGTCTTACTGGCTTGTCCTTCATCCTCCACCGCATCAATCCCTCTTGTTTCACCTCGTTTATCCGCACCATCACAATTACTGGGCTTATTAAAAAAGCTTCGGACGAACAGCTGCGATTGCTAAAGCCGGTTAAACAACGAGGTAATCAACGAGGTCAAAAACAAGACTAGACAATAGCTACTTAATATACACACACTCGCCATCAACTGGACAGGGGTGTGAATGACTAAATAATAGTTACAGACCACAGTAGAGTAGATCGCCCTCAGTCTACCTGGCCACTAAGGATGTAATATAATGTGGGCCGCTGGTGGACATTTTGGCGCTGTTCCGAGTTGTGTTCTAATCTGTCAAAATGACGGACTGCTTTCAGATTTTTCCGTCATTGTTAGAAAAAATCCGTTATTGACGGAAAATATTCGGTTAACGCGACCTCTGGTTGGTTATATGGCATGTGTTTCCATTAGCCACCATCATGGTGAAGAATCCCAGTTAGCTTTTACAGTGCGAGTCAGTTGTTGCTTGGTAACTAACTGCTAAGAGCCTGAACTGAAAACAAACAACAGTAGCCTTTACTTTAAACCTGTCACCACCTAACTATTTAATTCTGGACATGATTGTTCCAAGGTGAGGTGAGGTTACAATTTTTCCACTATCAGGTTCTCACTTTATATTCTCACCTGGATCTATGTGTCTGTTATAGTGTTGAAGAAGTGAATCTCCAAGGCCAGCTGGGTGCCTGTCTCTCCCCCAGCGAGGAGCCCGCTGCCAGGCAGAGTGTGCAGGAGCAGCAGAGCTACGTGGAGAGCTTGCGTCAGGAGATTCAGGCAGAACAAAGACGGGCTGAGAGAGAGTTGGAGAGGGAGCAGGCCCTCCTCCGACAGCAGCACACTGAGAGTAAGTCGTCTCTACACACTCTCAAAGAAAGTTATTGCTCACACAGAAACCTGTCAGCTTTTTGAAGTTCTCGATCGTTTTGGTGGATATATTTTGTGCAGGTTTAAAGGTCCCCTATTATACTCTTTTTCATCAATATATTATAGATCTCATTTATATACAAAACATGTCTCTGAAGTGTTTGGTTTGGTTGGTGATTGGCTAATGGCTACACAAGCCAAAAAATCGTTATGACATCATAAAGTGGCCAAAATCTGATCAGCTCATTTTCAGACAGGTTTTTATAGAAATGGATCAGGACAAAAAGAGAGAATCTTTTTTCCTGAAACTTTCAGAATCTCTTTACACAGAGGGGACACATGTTGATGTAGAAGAGACATGAAGAAGAGAGGACACGTGTTGATGTAGAAGAGACATGAAAAAGTGGATTTTGCATAATAGGTGACCTTTAAAATATCCACCACTTATGGTTCCCTTCTGTTATCTTTACCCAACAGTCCAGCAGTGGATTTTGCAGGAGAAGCAGCACCTAACAACTGTTGAGCAGAAAGTCACCCAAGAGTCTGGGGTTCAGGCAGATCTGATCCCTGCATCCCTCCTGGAGCGAGTGGCAAATCAGGCGTCTCATGATCAGGAGGGTCAGACAGGATACCGTCTGTCTCACGTGGTTCCGGCGAGGAAGAAGTCGATGCAGGAGGAACTGCTGAAGCATCACGCCCTCTGCCGTGCCGAAAGCCGAATCCGAAGGAAAAAGTTACACTACCAGCTGGAGAGGATTGCACGCAAGCGGCATATGTTGGAAGCTAAGAAGGAATTGCAACGGCTGGAAAAGTCTCTGCCTCCAGGACCAGAGAGCCCCGAGTCTCCTGAGCTGGTGACCCCCACAAAGCTCACGGAGAGACAGTTTGTCCCTCGTAGACACTCATTCTCCGCAGACCTTCTTTCCCGGCTTTACCCCCAGAACACACCGATCTTCAGGTAAACGCATAAAACATGTGACGTGTGTCAATTGCATGGATGGAAATGAGCTGACTTTTTTGCTTAACTAATGTTGGCTATTGTACTTTGAAAATTATTGTGGACGTTTTTGGCTTTTGAAGGGTTGAACAGTTTGGAAAAAGTATATATAAAAAATGTAATTAAATTAATTGTGATATTTGAGGTAATGATAATTTTTGCATCATAAGTCACATTCATTTTTCTTTTCTTTTTTTAGTATTGACTTTTTACTTAAAGGAGACCTATCATGCTATATTTAAATGATATAGTGTATGACCATACCTATATAAGGTATATTTATACATTTTATTTTTCAAAATACCAAACAGATCATTTTTTAGCCATGCCTCGTTTCGCTCATTTTCGCTCTTTTCCAAGCCTGTCTTTGAAAATTCTGAGCAGCAGCTGACCACGCCCCCCTGCAGAAGAGCGGGGCATGCGCCGGCGAGAGTCACGTTACCATGCTTTCTGTGATTACGAGTGTGGAATAAACATGTCATCTCAGAGCAATGCATGTGTTCAAGCGTATTATCAATTTGATCCAGAGACTGACCCTGAAGCAGCTGAGGTTTTGGTGGAGGTGGAAACATCTCGGTTGCAGCAGGACGTTTCTGAATGGTTAGTTGACAAGCTGTTGTTCCTATTTATTTTACTCCGTTACGATGCTTGCTACTTATTCCGTTCATATTTTGGCTAATTAGCAAGAATGCTATGTGTACAGTTTATAACTTAGAGCTTGTAACGCAAAAACAGCGATACATATATATATTTATAAAGGGAGACATTCATATTTTCAGCATATATACAATGGCCTCATTGCGTTTATTAATAGTTTACAGCCCTTTTCTTCCAACATCGTGCAACAACCGTTGGAAAGTTCAATAACTTAGGGTGATAAAAAGTATAACTCCAACAACACCTCAGTTGTCAGCAGTGTGTGTAGTTTCATGTGTTTTTAAAAGCTCAGTTATTGACTTCTTTCTACAGGTGTACATGTGCAAATTGCGCCACGATGCCTTCTGAACGGAGAATGTGTGCTGCATGGCGATACCACAGGTAACATTTTTGATAGCTTCACTAAGTTGTCTGTTTAGAGAATACATTTTTAACATGTCATTCAATATATGTTTATCACACTAGGTGTCAAGACGGATGCAGGAACTTGAGGACTCTATAACCTGTATGGTGGACCATCCTGGATTGGAGCCTGTGTGCCTGAATGTGTTCTCCCTGCAGAATGCATTGAATATTTACAGAGCTGAACATGGTGGACTACAGTTGAGGCAAATAGAGCAGTGAGTGGTTTGTTTCTTTTGACTGAAATTGTAAAACGAATGCTAATATTGTTCATGGAAATAAATACTGGTGTATATGGCTTTATGCAATCTTTCATTGTACATGTACTATTATATATATATATATATTATTACACAGCAATGGCATAACACACCCATGTGTACGACAACAAAAGTCCACACACAACCTTATGCTTTTGAAATCAGAATATTCTTTACCCATCCAAACATGAATAATCACGACACATTTGATATCAACTCTGAACTTTATTGTCAAAATGAACGGTTCTTTGAACCCATAAAAAAAAAAACGAAATGTACTTGTATTTTGTATAAATTACACTAAATATTTTTTTTAATGATTTCAGGCGTCACAGGTATCTAGCCTACAGAAGCTTTGTGAGCTGGTGCTGGGGCTTCCTTGGACGCAGGATCAGAGTGGTGATTCCGGTCTGCGTTGTCCTCAAGGAGGCAGGAGTTTCCTGATCCGCAAAATGTCGATGTTGGGTTCAGACAGCAGCCAAATTGAACCGTGTAGCATACCCGGCGATGACCTCGTCCCAGTCAGGTCGCTCATAATGGTGCAGGGTCCACAAAGACTTGGTCGAAGATGAGGTCCATCAAGTTGGCCACGAAGCCTGTGCAATGTTAAAAAAAAGCACAACAAAAAATGTGGTTTAGATTAGTATATGCATGTAAAAAACTGAAAGTTCTTTCTAATTTTATATTTGTAAATAGTTGTATAATAAATATTTTAAACACTTACGGAATGTGGGGTCAGTCTTTACTGGTTTTGCTCTGCATTCTCCCTTCCTGGCCTTTGGGAACTGCAGTTTATACAGAGGGTTTCCAGTGGATGTAGTGGCTTGTGCACGCTCAGCGTTTTCATTGTAGTGCAGGGCTGCCAGGTACAGTCTTTCATTTCCGCCATGAGAAAAAAAAATGTAAATAATAGCAAAGGATGTACAAATTGTCACTAATTAGTAAGTATGTGAGGTGCTGGCCTGTAAAGAAGAAAACATAGTTGGAACAAAATCATCTCAATTTAGTATTCAGGATGAGAAAATACTATTTGGATAAATATCGTCTGAAATCCCAAAAGATGGGGCTTAAAACTCTCTATTTAGCAAAGCTCTTTGCTTAGCCTTTTCCAATCTGAGTTAGTTTTGAACCATAACGTGCATGCTGTGTTTCTGACACAATACAGATGATATGTTGGAGGGGCTGAGCTCAGTAGACTGACTGTAATGAGTGCTAGCCACTAATTAGCCTGTTGCTAGGTAAGGCCTTGTCAACAACAACATACCAACGGGGCGTTAGCTCCGTTTTACTCGTGGTGTGTGTCCCCCCTCGCATACATACACACAGTGTTGTATCCTCACACACCCCCATTTATATTCATGTGCGTAAACACACAAAAGCTTTTACATATAACGCTGCAAAAAACGGCATGTCTCATTAGCGTAGCGTAGCTTAGCTTAGCTTACAGATCTGATCGTTCTTACAGACTACAATCACAAAAGCTTTTACATATAACGCTGCAAAAAACGGCACTTACCTACAGAAGATTACGTTTGTTATTATAACTTACTCAATATGATTTTAGAGCATACAAAATACTAATAAATAGGAGAATAAATACTTGTGTTATCGGCTAAGGCGTGGCTTTACAGCCTTCCCACAGATCACCATTACGGCAGTATGTCTGAACATGTTAGCAAATGCCTGATAATTAAAATAAAAAGACAAAGCAAAGACTGCGGAGCGTACAATATAAAATGTTACAAAAACATATAAACACCTAACCGATTACTATTTGGGTTTGAGGCGACATTGATACGGCAAAGCTACATGCTACATACTACAAGCTAGAGATAGCTTTATCAGGAAAAACACCGCTAAATAAAAACTTACAGCTTCAAAATTGGATGTGTCCTCACTGGCCTGCTCCCGGATGGTTGGTATTGATCCCGGCAATGCACGTGGCCGTGGCTCATTCCCCTGATAGGTGGAGAGTTGACCAATAAGCGGAGCACGTCTCTTTGTGACGTAGGAAAGTGTTGAAATCTGGATCCGTTTTTTTCAGATCCGTTTCAGCCACTTTTTTAGAGATTTGGCGAAGGAGGAAAATAGAGAGGGTTGTGTTTTCTGACACTTGGTGAGTTCTCTGGAACACCGGGGACACATATTCATGTATAAAAGACGTCCAAAGGTGCATTTTGCATGATAGGTCCCCTTTAAGTCTGTAGAGTTGTATTTTGAAATGTTGCCTTACACCTTATTGTGTATCCTGTGATTTTGATATTACCATAGTCCAACTGTAATAACATTACAATACATTTTTTGGCCCTAAATATTTTAGATATTAAAACCCAAAGAAAATATTTTAAAACGTTTTCTTTCTTTCCTCAACAGACACTTCCTCAAGAGAAACAGATCCACAGAACTGATGCCGAATTCCTTCACAACCTCTGACTCCAGTAGCCACCAGGAGTGGGTTTCTGATGAATGCCTTCCCCGGGAAAGATCCCAGAGTTGTTCCGGTAAACTCTTCTCAGGACAAAGTCAAGCCTGCCGGAGTAGAGTAGGTTCCTCTGAAAACCTCATGCTAACACCCAAAGAGGGGCCCCAAGCTCAGCGCTGCAGGGAACGACCAGAAAGAAAACCTCTTTTGCCAAACCGAGACCTGAATTTTAAGAACAGATCGGATCAACTCTCAACGTTTTCTCTGAAGTCGCCACTTGGAACTACAGTGCAGCCCAGCAGCAAAGAAAATATACAAGAACCCAAAACACGCAGAATGAGCTCTCAGACTGTCCCGTGCATGAATGCAGTAACTCAACTCCATGCCGGTAACAGCGGACTAGAAACCATCAGGAAGACTTTCTCTCACTCTGTGGGGCCCAGGTTAAAAACAGCTCTCTCCAAAGTTTTCAGAAAACCAGCATCAGGTGTGAATGGAGCACAAGGCCACAAACGTCCGGGGAGGATAGCGAGCAAGTTTCACTGGAGACAAAGAAGAGACAGGAGCCTTAAAGATGCGATGATGAGCCGAAGCAAATGTGCCGTTAAATCAGCTGTCTCATGCGAGGAGCTTGACCGAAAAACTCAGTTTGAAGACATCAAAAACAGGCGCTGGCATAGTACAGAGGCTCTGATGAGCAAGACCAGCAGGTGGATAGAGACACAGCAGGGACTGATGCAATGGGAGGAAAAGCAAGAAGACAGAGATGAAGTGACGTCAGACTGTGAGAGCCTTTTCTCTCTCGATTCGCTGTCCTCTGCTTATGTGACGGCCCTCACAGAGCAGCTGAGACACGAGGAAGCAGCTCAGAGCGAACCAGAGAGTGAAGACAGTCAGATGTCTCGAGATTCATTAGTTGTGGAAAGCAGTGGGAAATACAAAACAGCGGAAAAACGTAGCAAAACAGTAGTGCCAAAGTACTCATTTCTGACAGATTCATCCTGTTCAACCATGAGGCTAAATAAAAATGCAGGAATCAGTTTGGATCGAGACGACCATCATGAACCTCAGGTAATCCCAGCAGAGACGTGTTGGAGCCAGGAAGACTCTCCAAAATCAAGACTGGGAGCAAGGAGAAAGCCTCCTTCCCACAGCCCATTAGCAGCAGATTCCAGAGGCAGAGACATTGTACACAAATTGACTGAGGACTTTGGGAACATGCAGACCACTTCCACTGTTAGCCCACGCTCCCTGAGCAGCTGCCGTGTGAGGGAGCCAGAAAACATGCTGGCACTCACTGATGCCTGGTCCTCCACTGATGCAGCAGACAGTCCCAGGATTCTTCCAGATTATCTGCCTTTCCAAAGTAAATTGATTTTTAAAGGTGAAGAGAGCAGTAGCACTCCCAGTCCAACCAGCCTAACCCAGTGCGGATCTAGAAGCTGTAGCTCACCATCCACCAGCACTGAGGGTGTGAATGTAACGGTGCTAAAACATGGTCTTGAAGTTGCAATTAGTACATCAGATACATTGGATTTGAAAGACTCTCGGATACTAACAACACCAGATGAAGCACTAGGAGGTTATGAGAGGCAATCAGAGGAAGAAATATCCCAAATCGCAAAGTCACTCATAGATACTCCAGACTACAGGTGCATCAAAAGTCCAGCCACCTTATTAACCTTAAACCAAACCACTTGTTTGTCACCCTCTGAGATCCAGTACACCAAAAAACAAGCATTAGAAGTAAATAAGGTATTTAACGATGTACATGAGACGGTGTCCTCTGACCTTGAATCTCGTGTGTCAGGTGGTCCTACTAACCGAGGTCAAATATTGAGCAATTTGTCGAACGCTGCAGGTGCCTTCAAACCATCCATCGAAGATAAGGTACTATGCAGTTTAGATGGTGCCGAAAAGCTGACAAATGTTCAGCAATATGAGTTTGGGAACACCAAATACGTGTCTTTTACAAGGGACACACTGTTGGATGAGGCTGGAACCAAAGTCACTGAGCAGCACATTTCACTACAGCAGGAACTCGTTAGATCTGCTTGTAAAAATTCCAGGAAGAGGAACAAAGACCAACAGGAGGCTTTCATCGGGAGCCTGAAAATTCCAAAAAGGAGCGACGGCGGAGAGCTCGTCACTTTCTGCTCCGCTCCAGTTGGCAGCCAGGATGATTCTTGGCCTGATGACAATGATAACACCAGTGACTCAAAAGGGGAACAGTCTGCCGCGGAAGCTGACAGCCCCGGATTTGATTATGTTTGTATTGATGGCAGCTTAATACAAGAGACAATGGCTTCAGAGGCGTCGCCAGTTTCTGATCCCATGAGCCGGAAACTTGGACGTATCTTTGAGGACTCTGAATGTCGTGACAAGAGTCCACAGAGAGGTAGCTCAGCGGGGGAGAGGGAAGTAGTTGAAAAGAAAGATGTATCAATACCAAAAAATACCAAAGGTGGGGAATCACAAATAGATAACCCCAAGAAACATCAAGAAAGTACAAAACACATATGCAAGTCAGATGCTATTTGTAGCGCCATTGACCGGAGAATCTCAGAAGTGGTCAAAGAGCACATGAGATTGTCATTGATTGGCAGCGATGATGGCGGGAAGAGTAGAAGTCAAAACACGAATCCCTTGTCATTCTCTGCATGTCATGTTGGCTGTAATACTGATGAAAATAGATGGATAGAAAGAGAGAGTAGAGATGAAGTGAGTGAGGCGGTGAAAGAAGGAGCCATCCTCAACGAATGCCTTTCACTGGAAAGGATGGTGAGTGAAAACAAGATGGACGAAAGTGGACAGCTTGCATCAGAACTGCCAGCTGAATTGAAGATTTGCCATGAGAGCAACAGGCTCAAATCTAGTATAGGAACACAGAAGATCGACCATGCTCATAATTTGTCTGATGTGACATCCAACAAGCCAGCCATGGATCCTTATGTTTTCCAAAAGTCCTCTTCCGATAACAGCATGCTATCAAATCTGGCAATGAATGGCCATGGAGGGTCTGAGCACTCTTGCAACCCGGCCTTGCAGCCAATTCGGTCGTCCTCAATGAGTAATTCCTCTATTCATTCTCAAGGAAGCAACACTGTGGAAAAAGATGCTTTGTGTCAAGAAATTAATAATTCAGCTAAACAAAAAGTACCATCCCAACTTAATCCGGTCATCGGTACTACATGCTTGAATCAAGTGGACACTCAGAGCTGGTATCGTGTAAATGATGTCCGTATGGGAGCCTCAATGACTGTTGAAGACAAACACAGTCGTTCGCACAAACAGAACTCACAAGGGACCGTACAAGAACATTTGCAAAATAGTCCAGACTCATCCGAAGCCATTCAATTATTATCGGATGGTCGAAGTCAATTCAAACCTGACAAACGCAACAGTAGCCAGAACACATCCACTAATGAGCTTTCCTCTATGAAATTGTTGGCTGTTTCTCCTGGCTGTAATGGAGATGGTGAAACAGTCAACCCAACAGGAGTCAAACCACGTATAACATCAGAGGACGAGATCAGCTGTCCACAGACTCATGCAAGTAACTTGTCTCACACTTGTGTGGTCAACATGAACTACAACAACAAATTGCAAAATGTAAAACTATGCAAACAAGATATTGTAGCGAAAAATGACAAAGAGACAATAACACCGAAGATCTTCGCAGAATCGAAATGTGAAGTAAGAATTTCTGGTTCTATGCAGCCTCAGCAAAATGTACCGAAGGGGGTTGCCATCCGAAGTAAAAGCTGCCATGGATCTTTTATGTCCAACCAGGTAGAGCTAAACACACCTGGTGATGAAAAAGATCATCCTGCTCTCATGTCTAAAAAGGCCAAATCGAAGCGGTTCAGAAAGACTAAGATCCAGACCTATCCCACCTCTTCCTCTGAGTCCTCTCCTAAATCGTCAGATGGGGATGATGAGGATGATGAGGATGATAAATCTACCAGACAGCCTCACAGCCGGCTCTCCTCTAAATGGGTAAAGCTTGGTAATGGAAAACAGGAAATCGATCAGAGTACAGGTGAAGATGCAGATGTATCTTCTGCTGTGTGTGTCAGCACATTTAAAATGCAGGCTGGTTTGGCTGGAACTCAGGGTAAAAGTGAAGTAAAAGCGAGTAGAGATTACATCCAAAAAAGACACTCTTTACCCCCTCAAGCAATGTCACAGAGGACAAATGCAGAACAAATCATCCCAAAGAAAAGTGACCCGCAGCAGGACTCCTCCATGCATTTTGCCTCCAGTGACATCAACCCTTTTGTTCACCAGTGGCAAGGCGGTGACTCGGACCAACACTGTTATAAGAACCCAGCTTTCGGGAGTGCTGCTGACCTCTCCTGTAAATCTCCACTTCTGAACAGCACTGAGAAACGTATAACAAGATGCTGCAGTGTGGAGAATGGATTGAATGGGCAGAACTCGCCTTTCTATTCCCATCTGAGCACTTACGCCACCAACAAGGGGCTCTCCAGTACGCTCAGCAGTATAGAAGATTACAAGGAACAGGAAAACGAAACATCTCAGCGATCGCCCCGTCAACAAGCTCCCGCTGATATTCATAATCATCTAGCCAATCTTTCAGTGAGCGGCAGTTCTTCAAGTAACGATGTTCAAAATGGTTTTGGTAACAACTCCAGTCAGGTGGATGAAGTGATGGTTGTGTACTCGTCTGAGCAAGAGTCACAGACAAGCAAAACACACGCTCAAAGAAGAAGAACATGTGAGCACAGCACTCAAACCGAGCGTGGCCTTCAGATGGTAAATATTGTTCCAAAGAGAAGAGAGCGGCACAAAAGGAGTTACACTGATGTACCTGCAAAAACCAAAGACATTAAAGAATCTCCAACGTGGGCCAGTATGGAAAGCATGTCGGCTCACCTCTCAAAGCTGATCCACAGCACCTCCGACCTGCTGGGGGACGTCCAGGAAATGAGAACAGGCGAAGCCCTCAAGTCCAGTCTGCGGAGGAGTGTTAACGTGTCAAATATCAGCCTCTCTTACAGCGAGTCTAATGGCCACATACAGAGAGACTGCTCGACTCAAACAGCCGTAGATATTGGGATCCAAACAGAGAGGTGTTCAGCAGCAGCAGTAGAGAGGGAAATCGCTGCTCATCAAACGCCAAGTGAAAGGTCCAAATCTCATGAAGTCAATGTCATTGTCAAAGTGATCGGTTCTGAGGTTTTCAGTGTTTCCCAAGACAGAAATGTGCACTGTGCTGTGAAGAGAACAGATGAAAAGATGCAGAGCATGCTTGACCTGAGCGTTAACACCTCTGCTGCAGCACAAAGGTCCGTCTCACACTCAGAGAATGTCCCTCAGAAAACGGCTCCTTTAAAGTCTGCGGGTGAAAGTCAAAGACATGTAAGATCTGCTTGTTCTAGAAGCTCAAAGCAAAACACGCCCGAGGCAATCTGCCACAAAAGTGCTGCAATATCTGAAATCTCAAGATTATCGAAAAACGGCTGCCAAGGAAATCACAGTCCCTCTTTGAGAAATGACCCACTGCTTTCTATAAAGAAACAAGCAACATACACAGACCGGGCATCATCCCCGATACGCACTGTGGGAACAAGATTACATTTGAAACCGAAGGGAAAGCAATCAACACTAAATAAACACCCTAGTTCTGAGAAAGACAACCTTACTTTGTCTTCTAGCAAACAATCTGCTCGCACAACTGTTTCACAAAATGGTCAAATGTGCAGACAGGATTGCGATGTTTCCTCTTGGAAATCAGAATCTGTATCACTAGAGAAGGTGAGTGAAATGAGCTGCTTAAGCCCTAAAAGCTCAGATAAGTGTTCTTTAAGCGTTATTTCATCAGAGAGTAGATATTCAGGCACAGACAGGAGAGATGTTTCCTATGAAGACTCCAAATGGCAGATGAGATCTCAGCAGTGGAAGACTTCTGCATTAACAAAAGACTCAGCAATGCCGAACAACATCTCTCCCATTTTAAGACCCACTGATATGCACAAACAAGCTCAAGCTACACATGGGAAAACATCAAGAGCTGCAGAGGACCCTTTAGATATTTGCCATGATTCCTACAACCTATCACAGGTCAGTTACAGGACTGATGAAATTCAGGAGGATGATGCGTTGTCACTGGCACCCAGCGAGTGCAACACAGACATCCTAGTAAACATCAAACCGATCACCAGCCTGTCCACGTCTCATCCCCACCAGATAGCCCCAGAAGACCTGCCAATGCACAATAAGTTCACTAACTGGACCGGCATCAGCCTACGACAATCAAAACACTCCAACAAACCGGCCATGTGTCTTACCAAAGAGCACGAAAGGAGTAGAAACTGCGCTGAGTGGAGCGAGATGGAGAGCTTTGGCTCAAATGAAGAGTCCATGGTGCAGAGCGAGAGAAGGACGAGAGAGATAGAGAGGCTGCGACAGGAGAGGGAGCAGGTGATGGCGACGGTCAGCCTCAACATGAAGCAGACCCCGCTGACTGTGGAGCTGACGGAGGCAAAGCTGCACTACGGCCTGGGAGAGACAGACACGATGTTAAAGATGTTGTCCCCGAGGAACAGAGAAGAGATGGAGCCACCTGCCTCTGAGAACACCAAACAGCAGCTGTATGAAAGGTATGGATACATCTACTTAATAATGTCAATACTGATGGGATAACATTGCTTGAGTTTCTTCAAAAACTCTTTACAAATAATCATAATGTTTATTTTTTTAATTTAACAAAATAGGTATCATGTCTTAGAGTTTAAAAGCGGTTAAACAATGAAACTGATTTAGATTTAAAGTGTTAAAGTGTGAAGCTGACCGTTGAGCGGCCCGACCAAGCAAGGAGGCAGAGGCAGAACGTCCCAAATACAACCCGGTGTGGGCATTTATTAAATCATAGACACATGATTCACAGCCTCAATATTGCTGTTCTCCCTGAACACAGTCAGCAGCCACAAGGATCTCACACACACCACAAACAGGAAACACAGAGCCTAAATACCCACAGACTAATCAAACCAACAAGACACAGGTGAGGGGGGAGGAGACAACACAGGGCACCAGGTGAACACTAAAGTGAAAGTGTTAAAGTGTGAAGCTGACCGTTGAGCGGCCCGACCAAGCAAGGAGGCAGAGGCAGAACTTCCCAAATACAACCCGGTGTGGGCATTTATTAAATCATAGATGAGGAAATATCTGATCAATGTTAACAAGAATACAAATCCGAACACAAATCAATGCTAGCTTTTAAAACCTGTTGTTGTTTCTACAAATCGTTGTGGGTTGTAAATGAACAGGTAGTGACATCTTAGTCCTCAAAATGACATAAATGAAATGCACAATTTGGAAAAAGCTTCATCAGAAATGTCTAATGTTTTTACCTCAAAATGCATTCTTGTAGTTATTATATTTCTGTGAATCTCTCCTCTCAGACACCGCAGGAGTATTGAGGGTTTGAGGCAGGACAGGGAGGAACGTCTCCATATTTCCCGCAGAGCTCGCAGTCTGAGTCCCAGCAAACATCCTCGCTCCTCCCCACCAGAGGCCGTCTCCACCAAGGTGTCTGCCGCCATGCCCAGTCAGCGTAAAGAGTCCCTGCAACAGAGCACTCTACCAGAGCCTCCAAAAGCAGAGGGCCAGTGTCCGTCTGACATTGAGCAGCTGTTGCGTGACTACGGCCGAGCCCGAGAAGAAGCCAGGACGGAGATTGCGAAGGCACGAGAACGACTGCGAGAAAGAACTGAGCAGGAGAAGAGGAGGCTTCAGCAGCAGGCCGTTTCCCAGGAGGCCAAGGTCAGTTTTTGTGTCTTTACAATGTCGTAACATGTAGCTTTATTGGCAGAAATAATCATGTTAATATGAGATTCTGCCCATTTGGCAATAAATGAGGGAGGAAATAATTCAATATGAATGATTCAGTTTAATTTACGACACCACGGTATTTCAAAAATGTCACCGTCCCATCTCCCCTGTGTGTGGCAGGATGACTCGAGGCACCGGACCAGAGTCAGTAACAGCACCCTGTGCACCGGATCCAGCCTGAGCCTTTCCTCTGGACCAACGTCCGGGTACAACAGCGGCAACACCGCACAGCTGCTGCCCGGCAACAGGCCTCTTCTGACGGGACAGGTTGGCACACTTAAATCTTAAAGGTCACCTGTTATGCAAAATCCACTTGTTCATGTCTCTTCCACATCAACATGCGTCCCCTCTTCTTCATGTCTCTTCTACATCAACATGTGTCCCCTCTGTGGAAAGAGATTCTGAAAGTTTCAGGAAAAATGATTCTCTCTCTTTTTATCCTGATCCATTTCTATAAAAAGAAAATGAGCTGATCAGATTTTGGCCACTTCATGATGTCATAAAGTTTTTTTGGCTTGTGTAACCATTAGCCAATCAGCAGCCAAGGTAACCCCCCCCCCCACCTTATCACCTGAATCTCCTCCTCGAGCACCATTGTGTTCTTTTCAGCTCCAGCTCGGAGCCTCTAGACCACTGGTCTAGAGGCAAGAGCTTCGGAGCTAAGAGGCGGCATCGCTTACGTCTCTCTTACGTCGAGGACAGGGGCATGGGCGGGATCAGCCTCCTGAACAACAACAAAATGCTTGCGTGTGATGTTTGTAAAGTTCCAAGTAAAGTTGTCCCTTGTAAAGTCGTCCGATGCCTTCCATTTCGTTTCGTAAGAGGATAACCAAAGCGAACAGTGCTTCAATACAATCGGCCATTGTTGTTGTTGTCGATGTGAGGGATTTCCGCGCGGTTTGGATTTTATGAAGCAGGCACGTAAACAGTGACGTCATGACGCAGCAGCGGCAGCTCTGGGCGGTGTGAACAGAGCGGGAGCAGAAAAGTGAAACCAGAGCTGAACCAGAAAAGCTCCCGCTCGGAGCTAGAAAGGGAAAAGCGCTGGTGTGAAAGCCGCATCAGAGGGGCGTGGGGAGGGGCTCCTTATTTTCATCTAAAGTAACAGACAGAGAATCAGCACTTATAAGGGGATTATGGGTAATGCTGCAATGACCTGTTTGGTGTTTGGAGCCAAACACTTCAGAGACATGTTTTGTACATATCTGAGAGCTATAATGTATTGATGAAAAACAGTATAATAGGGGACCTTTAAATCTTAAATACTTAGTCTTAACCCTAAAGTAACTGTTAAGGGAACATCTTGGATTGTAGTTACACTGCAAGTATCTTCTTTGAGGTTTTGTCGTCATTCTCTTTTTGAATGAGCTGCAGATAAATGTGACATTATTGATTTCCTTCAGATCACAGCGGTACAGGATGAAGGGCTGAAGGTCAGGACACGTCCTCCTATATGTGGTCCTCAGAGTGTAAAGTCACAGAGAGCCTGGCTGTCTGCCCATGGTAAGGACTGGACTATGATCATAACACCCAATTTCACTATTCACTCTTCCACTCTTGATTCACAAAGACTTTGGAGATCCTTTCCAAAGTATGTATCCCCCGTCTGTGACTAGTGCATCACTAAACACTGTACATTCTCTGTATTGAACTTCCATGTTAACATCCACGTCTTTTCTAGATGTCCGTCTTGAGCCTCCTCCTGTCAGCGGGTTTGATCCCCTCATGACTTCATCTCCATCCCCCACAACTACACGCCAACGCACCGCTTCTTTTGGCTCCTCCTCTTCCATATCCTCAACCTATCAAGACATCACATCCAGTCTCCTCGGTCGAGCTCTGGCTGAGGTGACACAGACTTACATTTAAATGACTTCTTTGTGCTTTGGATTTCACTGTAATTGGTTCATCTTTATAATGGTTGCCCCTTTTTTTGACTACTCTCTCAGATGTTTGCCTCAGGTTGAATTGTAAATGTGTTTCTCGACAGGTGCGACTAGCTTCCTCTGGAGATTTGAGCAACCTGCTAATGGGCAAGGCCACGGCAGGCTGGAGGTATGATCAGTCATTCTCTTTGATAGACTCATCTGCCTTTGAGTCAGATTCAGAATCGCCTTACTTTTCTAAATGTACAATGTAGGCTAGGATTTTAGTTGATGATACAGCGCAGTGAAACAAAATAAGAACGTTTAAAGGTTTATTTAAAGAAAGTTTAGTACATTCATTATATATAATAAAGAATGCTATGTTAAGCTGGTTACTTTTGGGCCTCATGTTAACCCTTATGTTGTGTTCGGGTCTCCCGTGACCCGTTTCAAGTTAAAATTATATAATAACTACGCTCTAGTTTTTTTTATCGGAACAAGGCTTCATGATATCCTCCACAACAGCTATATAAACACTACAAAACTGATTTTTGACAATTTTTGCCAAGTCTGAAGGTCTCTAAAAAAAAAAGTATATAATTTGGTCTTCAGCAGAATTGTTGTGGGTGACTCGAGGTCAAATTTGGCCCAATCAAGATTCATCTTTGACTTTAGACACCCCTCCCCCACCTCCTTCATCCACTGTAACAATAATTGTTCGCAACATGCACCTGGTCTCCCCTCCCTCTGCCCCCTCCCCCCACGGGAACTCCACCTTTCTCAAAGAATATGTACACTAACACTTGAACCTGAACACACACATGCACGTGTGCAATATGTGTTTTGGGGCCATAACGTTAAATTACAACAGGATTGTACGGTTATGAATGCATTATAAGTTAGTTATGATGTAGTTAAAACAATATTGGATGATAGTCATTTTGTTTTTGTGTTTTGGACTGAGATAAATCATGAACGGTAACAGCTTTTGAACACAACACAAGGGTTAAGAAGGCCATTGTAGAGGATGTGTGGTGGATGGTGGGGAAGAGTAAATGCCTTTGAACAAAATAAGACAAGGACTGTCTCTATCGAGAATAATCAGCTGCAAAGTCGAGGAATTATTAAAGATCTTAAATCACAAACATCATTAATTTTCAAGTGTTTTTACTCTGTGTTTATATAGGCACCAGGGAGAAGAACGAGGGGTCCAGGCTTTCTACAAGCCCTCCACCAGCCCGTCTGTGCACAGTTTCCTGGGAGCCGGGGAGCTGGACAGACCTCTGCTCAGTCTGTGGAAGATAATCCGCCAGCTGTCGAGGAGCCACATGTTCCATCAGTCCGTGCGCTCTGTGTGGACTCGACCACTAGATGACAGCACTCAGCTGGGTGAGTCTGCTCTGTCAAAATCCACACATGGTACAGTACGGGTGGAGCAATGTATCAGAGTAAATTAAGTCAAGAGCTACACTTAAAGGTAGGGTAGGTAAGAATGGAGAAACCAGCTCGAGTGCGCTAGAATTTGAAAGTACGCAGCCGAAAAGAATCTGCCCCTTCCTTCAGACTTCCTTAGCCCCTCCTCCAACACACACGAACGCACACATGACCAATGAGGGCACGAGATAAGTTTGTGCACAGATGGAAGGCTGACAGGCAGGTAGGCCATCCAGTTACTTTAGCCGGGCCGGCTCAGATGATTGGTCGTGCTTTTTACAGTACGGCTTCCAGAGATGACATTTGTTTTATGTATTTATTGTCAAAGCATTTAATATATTCATTGCTATCGGGATGTTAAGAGCATTCCATGGAATATAACAAAAAGTGTTTCTGAAGTGAATTACCTACCCCACCTTTAAGTGCACATTTAGAGTAGATGTACTTTACCTCATTATCTTTGTGTTATGCCACTTTAAATGTCTATTCCGCTACAACTCTGCAGGACTTACGCCACATTTATCTGACAAATATAGTAACTAACTTCTTTATAAATTAAGATTTAACAAAAACATACAGTATTTTAAGGGATTATTAATCTAAATGATTGAATAAGCCACATCTCATCCATCTACAAAAGTAACATTCTGCTTAAAAGTTAATTAATCATTGTAATAGTTAATTATATAATATATATGCTCAATGCTTTTTAATTGAGCTTTTTTTTTTCACTTTAAGAACATTTTGCTCATTTATACTCATACTGTTCCCTAGGTAACAATATGTCTCAGTGCCTTCACTTGTTAAGGAGTTTATTTGCATAGTAGAAATACTACCTTTACTGAGTTCATATATCTGACCGCTCCTCCCCTGGTTAGTACAGCGTTGCTTAAATGTGAGATGTTAATAATGTTGTGAGTGAATGTCTTGCATCCCAGTATATTTTTATAATCAGTAGACATTAAACAGTAAGATAACACACTCCTCAAGAAAGTGTGAAATAAGTTATTTGCAATGGGAGAATCTCTGAAGCATGTGAGGAAAGAGTCGACCTTATCATATTTGTGTCGTTGCAAGAATACAAATATAGAAAGGTATTTACAAGTTTGTTTTGCTGCCAAACTATTTATATCTTTGCAAGCTGTTTCTGTACGTATTTTTGCTCCAAGTCTTGCGTCTGCATGCATTAGCTATGAATAGTACAGTAGAGTACAGTCCCATTCATCACTGACTACTGTATCGTATAGCATGTCCAGCTTTATTCTCACACCTGCGCTATGATGCATTAAATACGTTTGAAGCATCATCGCCCTCTCCTACGTCATCGACTCTGCTCTCATTAAAAGTAGTATTTGTGTTTACACAGTGACGTAGATTATATCATAAGAGATCTGCAGAACTTTGCCTTTTCTCTGAAGTTGTGAAATCAATTCCTTTCTAACCTTGTTAAGCAATAACTTGTTATTCCATTGCCTTGGTTATTTTATATTTTGCTTTATTTGAAGGTTTCATCCCTTATTTTCCACACATTCTGACACTTCTCTCCGTGTTATTGTTCAGTTTATATACTAACAGATCCGTCCTCCTGCCACCTCAGCCAGCCGCGGGACTTCTGCTGCATCAGCACTGAATCCAAACAGGTAAGCACAGCTGCAAAATAAACCAGCCGTCCCTATGATTACTGCTGGTCACACTTGTTCATTATCCACTGGGTGTTTGCAGCATAGTTGTACAGAAAAATCACGCTTCACTTTAAATGGATAACATTCTGTTAAGTGTCATATTAGTGTGGCTGGAACACAGGATACAGTGCTGTCTTTTTTAAATGAAGAACAATTCATGATAAATAGCGTAGCATTGAGTTTGTCATCCACAACATGTAGAAAATACTCTTTAAGCCGTACTCATGCTCATACAAAAAACAATACCCCTGAGGCGGAGGGTGACTCAGCTGCTGGTTATCAGTGTCAGATTCTCCTGGCTGATCAAAAGGCTGCGCTGCCTGTTTTATTGATGATTTTTTATATTGCTCTCTGCCTCAGGGTGGCTTGTGCGTGCTGGCATTGCAGTCCGTGTTCGAGGAGTCTCTGCCTCGACCCAGTGTGGACGCCGTTCGGGGGGAGATGATGCCCAGCTGCTGGGTCCTGCAGCCAATTACACGTAACGGACAGGAAGCCACCAGGGTCATCTACCTGCTGCAGGTGAGCGATGCTAGCTATAAACTAATCTGCAGGCTGATATGTGTGTTGGGCTCGCTAGCAACATCTCATTTTAAGAGATAGATAGATAGATAGATGGTCTTCGTTAATGTCTCAACACTCGTATGGAAATGTTTCAGACACAGGTTTTTTCTAAATTAACATTAACTCCAGGCAAACCTCCGAAGAGCGGATGTGAAAGTGCTGATTCATTATTATTATTATTCAACAAACTTGCAATGCATGGCTTTTTGTATGGCAATAAGATTAAGTACAAGAGCATTTGTTCCCCAGACTCCAGCTAAGAGAAGCAAATCAGACATCAGTACTCTACACCCACATGATAATTCCACTTCTGCAGGCTGGACATTTGCCAGAACAAAAAACAATCACAGATGTTCCTGCTCAAAAATATAATGAGTTCTTCCTTGGGCCTTGTTGCATCCTCCCACCAAGTTTAATGTAATCCTGCTGACTAACAACTGAAGTGAAAACCTAACCTCCTAGGGGAGGTAATGGAAATCTGATACACATCAAACAGCTAATAACCTCACAGCCCAGTAGTTTGTGAATTGCAATTTATAAGAGGTCAGGAGTCCTATATATTAGCACCTTGGGATTGCTTTTAGCAATGAAAGGTGCTTTACAAATCAAATGTATTATTATTATTATATACTGTAACACATTAAAGGAAAGGGAAAATCTGAAAACCATAATCGGGCCGATTCAAGATGACCATATAGGCTCAATTTAAAGGTCCCCTATTATACTGTTTTTCATCAATATATTACAGGTCTCAGATATATATACAAAACATGTCTCTGAAGTGTTTGTGCAGATTATTGCAGCATCCCCTCTGTTTCAGCCCTGTTTCCAAAGAGCTGATTCTCTGTCTGTTACTTTAGATGAAAATAAGGAGCCCCTCCCCATGCCCCTCTGAGAGATATTTGGTTAAAAAGAACACAATAGGCGTGTTCACTCCCTGTTTTCCCCGTACTTTTCCCGTTTAGTTCCGTTAGTACCCCTTATGTTGCGTTCACACCAAAAAGAGTACTTAGTGCCGGGAACTTTTACCCCCATTGTTAGTGCCTGCTAGAGAGGTGGTACCAAAAAAGTACCAATTTCTATTGGCTGGGCGAATTGCAAACCACGCCCTGTAAAACTCTGCCATTGTATTTTTGGCATTAGCATTATGAGCATTAGCATTAGCCTTGCGCACCAACGGAGAGAGAATAACTTATGGCAACACAAAAGAAAACATGGGAGCGGTGGAGTGATGAGGAGGTGTCGGCGTTCTGGCCATTTACTCGGAAAGCTTCAGTCGAAGCTGCTGGGAGTCCCAGCAGCTTCTACTTCCGGTCGGGGACTTCGGGCGGCAGTATACGCCGTGAAGTTGTTTGCGGCCTGCCAGTAAACCCAAAGCAGAAGAAGAAGTGACGTCAGCGGCTCATTAGCGTAATCTTCCCTCAGGGAACTTATTCCGGTGTGAACGCGATCTGTACTTAGTGCCCTGGGGTACTAAGTACGGCAAAGTACTTGGTGTGAAAGCGGCTAAGAGTGCTCTTGTTCAGGTGATAAGGGGGGGGGGGTTACCTTGGTTGGTGATTGGCTAATAGTTACACAAGCCAAAAAAACGTTATGACATCATAAAGTGGCCAAAATCTGATCAGCTCATTTTCAGACAGGTTTTTATAGAAATGGATCAGGACAAAAAGAGAGAGAATCTTTTTTCCTGAAACTTTCAGAATCTCTTTCCACAGAGGGGACACATGTTGATTAGGGCTGCAACAACTAATCGACTTAATCGATTAAAATCGATTACCAAATTAGTTGCCAACTAATTCAGTCGTCGATTCGTTGGTGACGTCATCACGTGTGTTTAACGGCCCGTCCACACAGCGGCGTGCGTTGAAGCTTCCAACGCTTCTGCCCATTCACTTTGAATGGGGTGACGTCACTTTTAGCCGAACTGCATTTTGGGAAGCGACGTGGAGCATTGCTGGCTTCAAAAGTTGAGCAATGTTCAACTTTTGACGCCTCGACGGAGGCGTCAGCCAATGAAATCCCGTTTATGCAAATCTGCCAGTACAAGCGCTAGCCAATCAAAACCGCGTGTATGCTGGGAGAGACTACGCAGGTCTTTTCCTCATATTCCAAAAAATGGAGGGAAAATTCATTATTGTGGTAGTGAATCACCCGGTGCTGTATGATCAGTCTCTGTTCATCTACCGGGATACAAACCGGAGGAGCGAGGCATGGAGGGAGGTGGCAGAGACAGTGGATGAAACTGGAAGGTTTTCGCCTGTTTGGGGATTTTATATCCAGTTTACTTCGTTTTAACTTTGCTATTGCTTTGTATGTCGGGGGCGGGAGATTCATGTGATTGGTTGTTGGTCGCGTTGCTCGCAAAAAATCCCCAAGCTTCAGATACGCCCACCTCCAAGCGTCAACGCACGCTGCTGTGTGGACGCTCCGTTACGCACTGTTAAGCTCCAACGTTATCGGTCTTTTTATCGGTACTGGAGACATTTAAAAAATATATGTCATGTATTATTGCTATAAAAACATTATATCGCAGTCTTACTGTCACCAACTCGTTTCTAACATGCAAAAAGACAAACAAATGCGTCTATGGTGTATTTTCGATCAGACGAGATCTCTCTCCCCCGTCTGTGTGCGAGGGGGCGGGGCAGTTTACACACACGCAGCTGCGACATGCAGCAACACACTGCGGAGATGGCGGAGAGAACGCGCTCCGAGGTGTGGTTAAACTTTACCCGTCTCGATGAGGAGAATGCTCGTTGCCAATAGTGCAATAAGAGTTTAGCATGTCAATTTGTCTAAACATTTAGCAAAAGCGCTCCACATTCAGACGGAGAAATGCACCGGGTTCGACTGTCTTTCTAGCAGCTCTGTAGCCCCATCCACGAGCAACGTTTCCACGTCAGGTATGCTAGCAGCAACACACGGAGTTAACTCTGAGTTAACTACATTAACATGGGTTAATGATTAGAGGTAACAGAGTTACTCTTTATTTTGTTAAAGTTTCAGCTATTCTGTTTACAGTTCTATCATCACATTATTTAATACGATTTGTTAAAACATTGTTGTTTCTTTTGATGTGAAATATTATTTATTTTATTTAAATAAAAAGCTATGTTAATTTTGTTCAAAATGTGTTTAGTTAATTTAATAATATATGTATTTTTGAATCAAGTATTCATCTTTATTGTCTTCATTGTTAGTTTCCACATGCCTAAAACAACCTCAAGCTAAATCTAAAAGCTGATGGCTAAATAAGAGCGCTTGAGAAATTGTGCAAGGCATAATAGTCCGAATAGTCGATTAATCGTTTCATTCATCGATTATCAAATTAGTCGTTTGTTGCAGCCCTAATGTTAATGTAGTAAAGTGAAGTGAATCTTTGCCGTATCATTTTGTTGTTCTCCAGGTGGACCTAGGGACTCCATCTTTTCCCCCCCGCCTGTTGAACACTGTTGCCAGGAGACATGCAGCTGTCGTCGCTGATCTGGATGTTTTCCTCACTAAATCCACAGTACTCATGAAGACGCCTCAGCAGTGAGCACTTTGACTAAAACCGTCTCCAGCTTAGAGTTAGTCTGACTTTTACATTTGCACCTGAGATTTGTTTACTTGACTTGTTCTGGTATACTCTAAAAGCACTGTTAATGTATATTGATTCCCAGTTACAAAGTTGAAGCAGCTTTTTTTTATATATGAAGGTATTTTTTATAAAATATTGAAACTGTATTTTTGTATTTGTAATGTACATAAGAGCTTGTAACAATCATACACCTATTTGACCAAAGATAGGACACATTTAGTGTACTGCATTTAGATTTAGACAGCTTTTTTAATTAATTATCCAAGGCTACAATTCTACAAAGTTGATCCAACTTTTCAACATCATTTATGTGATGACATCGTTTTATAATAATCTAATAGGTATCAGCCCTTAATGCCTGTTTGCAATATGGAGTCTTGATTTCTACCATTTTGTAAGGTGGACCTCCACATTGTTGTAAACAAAGTCACAGCTAGACAATCTTTAAATTGAAGTTAAAGAGTCGGTCAACAAGGTTACACTGATTGTTCATTTACAACTCAAGTGGGATTTGACTAGTGTTTACTTTCTTTGTATCGCTATAAGATAGATGAATACAGACAGTTTTGTTGTTGTTATATGTTTTCTGTCAGCGTAGATGCATGATGAAGGGGATTTGTCAGATATGACAATGAAATGAACGACTGAGACGTACTTACAAGGGAAAGTATTTGAAAGTCAGTTTATATTCTATTATTGTCAACGGAAGGAAAACCACATCCAAACATATGAAGGAAATATTTGCAAACTTTGTTTAACCCTGATTTGTTACAGTATATGTATTTATTTCCTCAAGCATATTCAACCACTCACAAAAGATTATTTTATTGCAGGAAATAACCATTTCATTGTCCTTCATCCGTTTTTGTAGCAAAAGGATTAAGGCAAATGTATTTAAGGGACCGGAAAATATTAAGGGGGAGAAGAGGTCAGAAAAATGTGAGAGGAGGGGGAAAAGTAAGTTACTCTGAGCAGGGCAAATATTTATTTCACTGTTTTTATATATGCCTCTAAAATGAATAGTTACAATAAAAAGACAGCTTTTTAACAAAACACTAAGAACCCTGGGGGAGTGCCTTTCTTCCTTGACAATATATGTAAATATAAGGTTCACACCCCCTTCTCATTTCCCCATATCTTTCCTATAGTCCCTAAGCTATGTGTTAGGTGGTGTATTGAAGGAATCCTAATAACCATTTTTCTTACTCTTTATCCGTTATATGTAATGTATGTGTGTTCGTCTGCACATTTGAAACCACTCGACCAAACTCACTGCAGGAAAACAAGTCATAGAACAGTTGTGTGCCTAAAAAGTGGGTTAGAAAAAGAAACCAAAGCTCTCTGGTTCATTCTGTGTCCTTCAGCAAGAATAATCCAGAGAAAAAGACAAGACAATCCAGGAATGATGCTCTAAAACGAACAGTACCCTCCTTTAACTTAATTGTAAAAGCCGCATTAAGATATGACCGCAATATGGTACCTGAATCTAAAAGCTGAGTTTAACGCCTTTTTGTTTCTGAAGTCTATTTATTTTGTTCCTCTTGCCTTCCGTTTGAGAAATGCTGTTGAATATGTTTTATAATAGTGATGGAGTTTTTATTTGTGTTATGAGCACAGCATGGTGCTGTGTTTACTGTACAGCTGCTTGCACAAAACTCTTAATGCATTTATTGACGTTACGTGTTTGAAACGTGTTTTTGTTTGTAGTTAAAAGCTATGCAGACGCTGATCGAAGGCAGCACTGTTCACTGGGTCAGCCGTACCCAGATATGAAGCCATATTATTTACAGTAGTCTGAGGAGGAGGACCGTTTTGGCAGCGCTCAGTTTGAGACCAAAGATGTTCCCAAGGCAACCAAAGACACAAGTACTGAGGACACGCAGGGAAGGAACACAGTGACGACTTTTTGTAATGATTTCTTTTTTATGTTTTTTTATATGTTCCCAAGTGCTCATTTCATTTTGTAAAAAGCATGTTATTTATGTTTTGACTTTGTGTTGTAAATGTATTTCATTATAAACGCCTTGCTTCCTGTTGCGTGTTTTTAACGAATACAATAAATATTTAAAGTGAAGTGTTTCTCTTTTTTTATCCATCTTTCTGAATAATTCTCCTTACATGTCAACAGTATATCAGAGTCTTGAATCCCTTACTTTAATCATTTGCAATTAGTGTAAGTAGGCCTGAGTATTGAGCCCCTGTGCCTTCAGTGCTGATTTAAAGTGTCTGAAGCTCAGAGTATCGAAAACTGTCAATTACCCAAAGCTGACCATGCTTGCTAAGATTCATACTCTTCTTTCCCATTTTACATATTTGCAGTGTTTAAATAACATGAAAATGCAGACAGAAAACACATTATGCCTCTGAAATGTTTATATTTGTTTCTATATAGTGATAAATATCTTAACTTAAGGAGCCTGCAATGCATCCTGTGGAAACTTGTCACAAGCTTTTAAGCACAAAGTGTGGAGAAGTATTTTTGTGTTTTGAGTGTTTTTCCCTCCACATGTTCCATCAGTCCAGTGAAGTACATCTAAATATATTATTAAGTACTTTTGCTTTCCCCCACTGATTATCCGACAGGTGTTTCCCCACTGTCTGTAATGGATGGGTATATTTTGTAATGTGAGGCTCTTTCTCCAGGATCTGTCTGCCTGCAGGCCTCTGCTCTGTGTTCAGCATGTGAATGGTACGCAGAGGCAGCAGTGGAGGTGACACTTTGAGAGGGGTGTTGTGTGTGCGATTAGATCCCGGTGGGGCGGGTGGACTGCATAGTATGTGTGTGGGGGGGAGGTGGTGTACAAGAGATCACAAGTGTCTCTGCCATTTAGAGTCACCAGCTCAGTCAGGAATGTCCGTCCCCTGCGCGCTCAGATCATGTACTGGATGCGCCCACTTTATTTTTAACCCGGCAGGGTGGGTCAGACTCTGGCTCTCGGGAATGACCGTGGAGCGCGCGGCGCCTATACAACCCCTATTCCCTCGTCCCCCGTGCAGGACCTCCTCGCGCTGTGGAGACCTCCCCCCGCTCTGACCAGGACCCCCGCTGCTTCAATGGGATTATAATTGCTTTATTGGCAGGGAAGAAGACTCAACATAAACACTTTCGGACAGGACAACATCCAGAAGCAACAGTAAGTGCGCTGTTGTTAAATGAAGTTATTGATCTTTGGCCAAATACTTTCTGTTAGCGGTCACTGACAGGCTCTCCTTCCATTAGCCTGCTATAGTGTTCCGTTGTTTAAAGTGGAGGCACAAGTTTCCTCCAAACCACCTGTTGGACCGGGCTGCCATGTTTGACCGTGACGTCGTTTCCAAAAAGCTTTTTTTAAGAAATGTGCCCTGGTTTTAAACATACTCCCGTTTCTTTGGTTTTACTTGAGTCACATTTTGAGTTATCAATTTGTTATCTTTCAGTGTTTTGAGCAGAGAGTCGTTGAAAGTGCGCACAATGACGTCACTGCGCATGTCTGCGCGTGGAGAAGGTCGTTCTCCAAAAGTTATCTCTAATGCCAAGGAGTGGTGGAAACACTTTTGAGATACTTTACGAGAGTAAAATTGTCAGTAATACAATTTAATACTTAATTATTTATAAAGTACTGAATAGAAATTGCACTTGACAAAAAATCAAATACTTGTTGATACTGTAGCTACTTACTATTATATTAACTATTCCTCTTATTGTATTATTATTTTTTAATGATGGTGTATGTAACATTTTAGATTTCCAGTTGTCCGCTATTTTCAGTTTTTTAAGGACTTTTATATACTTTTGGAATGCTTAAGTGTACATTATCTTGCATTTTTATGTAAAATCTAAACCGTGAGAGACCTTGTTACTAAAGCTGTCAAAGGAATGTAATAGCAGGAGAGTATGGCAGCATAAAAAGGAAATACTCAAGTGCAGGCACCTCAAATGTATACTTAGTTTCATGAGTAAAATACTTGTACTGTTAGATGTCATCACTGATAGCGAAGCACATACTTTCCATATTTTCACATCTGTTCCTCTTCTTCTTTCTTAAAGCACCTAACAATGCGTATTGCCTCGTTGATCGGAAACAGTCTGGTAGCTTATGAAATAACAAATAAATCAAATGTTCCTTGAGCATAAAAGGACCCCTAAAAGGACAAGTGTGTGTGAGTGTGTGTCGCCATGTCTGGCCGAGCTGGCTTTTGTGTAAACACACTACAGGAATAGTTTACTATTGATTCCCTTATTACCAGCTAAGTGTCGCTGCAGTCAAAAACAATATTGACCACAACAAAGGAACTTTTTCTCTCACAGCTTGTGTACATAGCTGTATGGATTATGTCACAGAGTTTGTATGCTCAGTTTTCCCCATATCTCTTCTCATATTCTGTTAACGTACATGAGGAGTAGTTGGTTTGATGTTGTTATTGGCATTTTCAAAGAATTTAAGGGCAGCACATTTTGATGCGTACTCCTCCTCTTCCTCTTTGATATTGATCTCTGTCCACTTTGTGTTTATGTCTCAGATTTACTCTCTCCTGGACCTCAGTCAGGTTGCTGCTACAGTTTCACACACACTGTGTAGGCCACACTTCTCCACCACACCCATCTCTTATTTCATCCCCTCCATCGGACTCTCTGTATAATGTGCTCACTCCCAGCCAGATCATGTGTTTGTGCTCCTCAGAGTGCATGTTTCGGCACACAGGTTACTTACAGGTGGGAGCATTGTTGTATTATTCATCTCAGGTGCTGACTCGACGTTAACAGTGAATCTATTTGTTTGTCTGTTCTGAGTATCAACAAAAGAGGCTGCTGCAGTCCATTCAAATCACAAGAAGTGGAAATGCATAGAAATACAAGTTTAATTTAACACCTGTGAAACAAGAAATGTTATTATTCTAACTCCAAAATCTTTTGTGAAATAATTTAATTCACACCTTTTTATAATTTCCCTCCAAACTTTATGTGCAGGGCTCCATCCATGGAAAATAACGGCATCTCTGAAGAACATCCATCTGACATTTTGATTATTCCCTTTGACTTTTATAAGACTTTTAGGAAATTAACCAGCCCTTCTTCGTCATCATCTCACAATGTGCAGCCACCAAAATGATGAAATAGCAGACCATGTGCTCAGGTCTTTATCTCGAGGTGATGGCAACAGCAATACGTTATTATTGGACTATCATTTATTTTATGGGCCAATAACAACTTAAACATTTGTTATTTGTTCCACATCTACCAATACCTCATAGTGCTAACAACGTATAATATGAGTTATTTTAAGATTACATCCTTTAAGTGTTGGTAATGTTATCTTTATAGAATTCAGACATTCAGACGAATTAAACATTTTGATAATCAATTCATTATTTAAATAATTTCCCAAGAAACCTTTTTACTACCTCTTTTATACTTTTTCTGACTGCTTTTTTAAATCAATATTTAACATTTTAGAGACTTACTAATTACTCAGTTAATTAGGGAAGTATCTGAACTCAATTCTTAAAAATGTAAAAAGGGAATATTGTGAAGACCAACAATCCAAAACTCAAAGACATTCAGTTTAATAGCCAATAAGATAAAGACAAGTAGAAATGTATCACGTTTTGCATTTTTTATGGAAATAATTTAAACCAATATCACAATTTCTGAAGATTTGTTTTCGACTGATAAACTAATTAATTTATCACCCAATGTTCAGTAGTGACTCTACTGAGATCTGCATGTGCACCAGGCAATGTACGCATTTGCATACCTTTACACATACTCAGCACTCTAATGATAGCCTATGATTTAATCTTATTTTGGGACTTTTATTCTGCATTAAAGGAGCTCCTCGCTGACAGGGTGACCCTCTCCTAGCTCTGTGTTTTCTTCAAGGACACCACAAGAGCACAGCTCACTATTGACAGACACACACTTCCTGTGGCAGGCGCTGAACTCTCTGTCACAGGACTGTCTGTGAGGCCTGCCTTTAATACAGCTCTAAATGCTGCCTAGTAAACTCTCACTGCGTACAATCCCAGCTCACACACTTAATTTGTGTTTGGACACACAGCCCTTTGACATGATTAGAGTCTGCAAGGTTTCTGTAAACAGCTGACGGTTTGTGGATACGGCTTTGTAAAAAAGGGTTTGTGCAGTTTGAGTGTGTTGTGCGGTGGTCCTGTCCAGGTTGTGTGTGAGGTGATAAGGGGATCCCCGACGGTGGGTGGAGCGTCCCCGGGCCGATAAGAGCCCTCTGCACAGGGCTGATACTGAGCAGCAGGAGGTGGGAGACCTGCAGGCTGCCATCATGTGCTTCTTCTCTGAGGGCCTCTTCTCTGAACAGACCTCTGTAGTGAAGCCATATCAACAGGGACGGAAATTAACGGCATTTATCTCAAGTACTGCACTCACGTACAATTTTGAGTCCCTTGTACCTTAGTCAATTATTTCCATTTCCTGCTTAATATTCCACTATTCTATAACTATTGCTTTCTCCTGCTGTAAAATCATAAATATTAAGTAGAATAAATGCTAAATATTTGCCTTATTTCTACTTAAAGTGTTATTTATACTTTTTTATTTGATTTTACATGTGACTCAGACAGATAGACCAGGGTGCCGAGTATGCAGATAATGAGATACAGACAATTAAAGTAAAGTAAGAGATACAAATCAATTATACTAACAATAAAATCTAAAATCCAGTTACAAAAAAGTTGGGGAAAGAAAAATAATATATGATAATAAGGACATGCTTTCATTAGCAGCTGACTGGCCCAAAGGCTTTGTGTGGTAGTCTAATTATAATATTAATTTCATCACTTAAATATCTGAAATATTTAAAAAAACATGTCGTGTTCAGCAACTGTTGTAGTGCTACATGATGGCCCTGCAATGTTTTCTCAATTTATTTTCACTTCAGTAGCAATGCAAGTTGTATTTCCCGCCTCATTTGGCATCCCGCGCTTATTCTCAGAAAAAGAAAACACCAACGTAAACGCCCCAAACACACACTCACTGGCAGTTCAAACTACGTGTGCAGCATCATTCAAAAGAAGACGTTTTCGTCATGTTCTGCAGTAGAGGGGTTGCCCCCCCCGCCTGTGTGTCATGATAAGAGAGCTATGCTGCACACAGATAGAGAGCTATCTGAGCTGCTACCCTTCAACCCGCCATCACACACACAAAGAGCACACACACTGCAGTGACAGTTGAGCACAGTTACACACACAAAATGGAGATTGTGAGGAGCACAGGCCCCTCACAATCTCCATTTTGTGTGTAACTGTAACGGGGCTTAAAGGGAACATTTGAAAGCTACAGGCGAGATTTCGGTGTAAAACAAATATACATAAACCACATCTGAGATCACAAAGATGTATTCAAATCTCAACCCCTTTCCCAATGGGGCTGATACATTAAAACTCTACACCAAAATAAAAACCAAACTGCAGTGAGATGGTGAAGCGTACAGAGAAAGCTTGATTCACAAATCAGTCATTTTTACCCTGTTTTGTCCCTAGATTTGGGTAACAAATACATATTTTCATTATCAATACATCTGCTTATTGTTTCTTGGTAATTGGTTGGTCTTTAAAACTGTGACAAATGTTCATAACAATGTCCTCAAATGCATTTTCTTCCACTTGTTCCACCGGCTTTTACAGCACAACCCAACTGGAATAACCACTGAGTAGAGGTTAAAGGCCTCATGCTGCCATGTGGGTCATGTGTCAGAAAATGAATGTTACAAGGCTCAAATGATGTACAATTGCAATGAATTGTCATTTAGAGCCAGGATAAGCAATTGCTTGACCAACAGAAACAAAAGAGCGACTCATTTGATAATCTTATCATCTTTATAGTCAGTTTCCATCCTCTCAGATCTGAGGATTATATACTTTACCTTATGATGTTCGTCAGACAAAACATTACAATTAGATGTCACCTTACCCTGTGTGCAATTATAACAAGCTATTTCACACTCAAAACGATTAACGATGGATCAAGAAATACACCATACATACATCAATATGTGTTGTCAATGTTAGTTGCAGTCAGTGAGTCGCTCATTAATTGTTATTTGTATGGCCTAGATGGCTAATCATCCATGTCATCAAACCTCCACAAGTTAGATTAAGCAGATTGTGCCTAACATTATCATTCTTATCAAAAAAAGTGACATCTACTCCCTTCAGCCATCTCATTTCTAGTCTCGTATGTTTTGAACACCAGGTATTATAATAAATCAAAACAACACCTTTACTGTCTGTCTTTCACCTCTGTTTCAGACTACCTCCAGTATTCCAGATCCATCCTGTCATTTCGTCCTCTGCACTCATCTCCCCCCCCCCCCCCCCCTCAGCCGCTCGCCAAGCTGGCCACCGCCATGACTTCCACCACAGACTTTGACAATGCGGAGATCTCGCAGCAGTACAGCCGCATCAACACCCGCTTCGACATCACTGACGAGGAAATCGACAATGACAACTGCTCAGCGCGGCTGTTTGAGCGCTCGCGCATCAAGGCCCTCGCAGGTGAGTGTGTGCATAGTAAACAGGCTGTGTCCTTTCTCAGGCATTTGGGTGACACATTTTGAGATGACAGGTGAGCTATATTTAGTGTAACTATTGGGGGTTTGAATGTGCTTAAATGTGTAACTGACCTTAGTTTTGGTCAAAAATGCACACTCCAGGTGACCCTTGATTTAGTTTCAAAGCTCTCACATTCTGCAGGGTTGTTGTGTGTGTACATGTTACTCGTGGTGTCACAAACCTCCAGCAGCTGAGCCCTGACCCTCCACAAGTAACTGTGATCGCTTGCACATTCCCAGAATGGCCATCGTCTGAGCGAGTTGGACAGCTGCCCTGCCTATCTTCCTCCCATAGCACAGATCTCTGGCATTTCGGGGCTAAGCTAGTAAGCAGGGTCTCCAGCTGTGGGTCTTGGGGTTTTTAAATAGCAGCATTTCTGCGGGGGGAGAACAGAGGGCCACACCCATGGCCACACCGTGGTTGTTTCCATAAAGCCTTAGACACAAGAGAGGTCAGTGGCAAGGTGGAGAAACACAAGTTCAGCTCTGTGGAGACGGGAATTATGGGTAACACTGGGAATCTCAAGGTATCTTCTGAAACTAGTGTGGATATGATAGCTGGGTTTCGATACTGACACCAAAAAATAACGTTTTATTAATACCTAACTTTAGGAAATGTTAACTTTACAAACACTGTTTTGGATTTAGCAAATACTCTTAATGTCTCAACACAAGCAGCCGTTTAAGAACGTTGCATAACAAAGGTAACATTTTGCAAACTTTTTATTTGAAGTTAAAATCCTTACAGACGTCCTATTATGCTTTTTGGGGTTTTCCATTTAGGTTTTTGTGTATGTGAATGGTCTGTAAAGGCTTAATCCCACACACTCCCCCCCCATACCTGAAACGCCTCCTTTGGACTCCTTTGTTTACTTCAGTAACAGAGTGACATCACTACATAAAACGAGCACTTTTATTGGCTTGTGCTCCAACATACAGTATGTAATGTTGGGCGGGACATCTTTAAGTGGTTGACCAATCACAACAGAGCCGGCCAGCTAACCAATCAGAGCATCAGATTCTGGTTTCAGACAGAGGGTGAAAAGAGGTGCTGCAGTACAGGCAGTATGAGAAAAAATGAAGAGCTTTTTGAACATTAAAGCATGGAGACATGTCCCAGTAGAGACACAACAGTGACCAGCTGTTGTAGATATTTACCCATACTCTTTTGAAAATGAAAAACTGCTTTGACAAGTTGTTTTGAAATATTTGTTTGTTCACAAGGAACATTTTTCATGATCAAATCCTTGTCCTTCAAGATTTCAGAGCGGTTTGATTGGATTGTTCCTGTGGTCTTCTGCATGTTTTAATAGATCAGGTCCCAGACTGTATTGACCACTCCGGGCAGAAAAAACGACCTATGTGGAGAGGAAATGAGTCTTTTGATTACAGCATGCTCAAAGGCACTGAAGTACTTGAACTTTGTTTCTTATTAGGTTGTCTTCCACTTACATGAAAGCTGTATACACTAGCTAGAACGTTGTGGTCATGTGAATGCATTGTTTCCTGTCAATCACTTGGGACTCCTGTAGAAACTATACTTTTTCTGGCAGATTTGCATCATCTCAGCTGCCAGACATAGTCTCACTGCGTAACACAATTTAGCCATACATCACATTCTTATAGAGGCAGAGGTGAGCAGAGGGGTATTAAGTTAAGTAATGCTAGATGACGCCAAATCCTAAACACTTCATATCAAAGTAGGAAGAAGGACTTCCCATTTCGAGAACTGGGACCATCTGAAGGGGAACACGAATGCACCTTTGGGTTTTGCTATGTCTCCGCTCTCCGAGTGCCACTGTCTTTGTTCATTTGTTCAAAGGAGGAGGGGGAAGTTCTCCCCCAGAGAGCAGAGCCTTTTCCCGCTGTTTATACCTTTATGTGAGTGTGCTTGATTTATATGAGGTAGGAATTACAGATTGCAATTACAATAAATGACTATTGCTGAAAAATTGCTGGTCATAAATACTATTAATTTAAGACTCAATACAATTTAAGCATTTACTTTACAGGAAGTTCAAGAACTGTCTGATTTGATACCAGTACACGATTCTACGCAGACATTAAAGTCTGTGAAGACGGATTCAAGTATTGAGCTTTGATTTCCAGCCGATCTTCTGTGTGGCCAACATGTTAAGAGTTGTGTCCAGAATGTTTATCGGGCAGCGCTCTCACCACTTTTGGTTCTGTCTCTTTCTGTCTCTTTAAGCGGTGAAGGCTTCTGTGTGGGTGTTTTTGATATTGTGTTAGAGTGCTGCTGCACTGATGTTTCTGTAATGCAATCAGTGTTTCCTGTCAGAGAGAGAGAATGGGAAAGAGAGAGTGGTAGAAGAAGGGAGGAAAGTCGTGAGAGAGGCAGGAGATGAGAGAGGCTGTGAATGACGCCCGCTGCTGATTTACAGCTTGTGAACTCAGAAATATGCACTCAGCATGTTGGCAAAGCACATATCGAATACCCGGTCATTTACACTGCTCCTAACATACATGTAAAATAAGGTGCGTTCCTAAGAGGTGGACAGTTTTATGTTGGATTATTGGCTCAGGAGATACACTTCACATTCAGTGATGCACCGACTGTGTGGGAGTGCTGGGCTGAGGGAGGGAATCTTGCTCGCACGTGGACGTATTGAAAACATATCGTATGCATGGATGGGGCTAGAGAAACCAGTCTAAACCGAAAGCTGGCTGAGCCCCCGTGCCGTCTGCGAGTGGAGGCACGGCATCATCACGGCAGCAGTGAGGAGAGAGTGAGGAAGAAAGAAAGAAGAGGGAGGGAGGGAGGGAGGGAGGGAGTGAACACGAGAGGGATCTGGAAAGGAGGACAGAGAGCCAAGAGACAGAGAAGAGGAGAGACGTGGAGTGCCAAGCTCCTCTGCCGGCTCCAGGCGCTGTTGTTGTTGTCGTTTCGGGGTCAAGATGAGCAGCCCCTGCCTGCTGCGCGCCACCCCTTTAAGCCAACCCCGGCTCAGAGAGGTCAACATCAGCCTGAAGGCCAGCAGCAGGGAGACCCCCACCCCCCGGACCAGCAGCAGTGGGGGCACTAAGGAGGCTGCCAGCCGGCCCTACACCCTAATGGAGAAGGAGCCCCCTGTCCGGGTCGGCATGAGCATCAGCCGGAGCAGGAGCAACCCCCCAGTCCACCGGGCCCAGAGAGCTGAGAGCAGGAAGACCTCCAGGGGGGGCAGCAGCATCAGCAGGAAGCAGCAGGACCCCGACCCCAACAAACTGGAGAGGAACGGCACAGTCCTACATGTCCCGCTCTCTGTGGCTCCAGCGGGACCCCCCACCTTCTCCTCGTCCTCTTCCTCATCCTCCTCCTGCACCCCCAGACGTCAGCGGGCCTCTCACCCCCACCACCCCCCCGCCCTCCTCTCATCCTCCTCGGCTAAAAGTATGAAGCGGGCGCGCCGGCTGAGTTACAGCACCTCCAACATCTGCTTCAACTCCATCCTGGATGGACGCTTCAGGCAGCTGCAAGGTAACAGGGTCCTGATGGAGGAGATGTGTGTGTGTGTGTGTGTGTGTGTGTGTGTGTGTGTGTGTGTGTGTGTGTGTGTGTATGTGTCCATGTTCTCCTGCCTTGACTGATTGGATAGAGAGATATAGCACTTTTCCAATAACGCCCCTCCCTACCCTCAACCTGTGTTTGTGGGACGGGATCACAGGGAGGTTTGAGGTTAGTTTGTGATCCTGTTTTGAGAACTGTGAAAAGTGTGAGCCCCCTTTCATTGAACATATACAGTAGGGGTGGTAATTTATTTATTTTTCAGGAAGCTGTGGCTCTGCCCCAATTGTTCACTGACTTGGCTTTGAATAATTCATGAGCAAACTCCTAAAAAGGTTGTGATGTGTTTCCCTCCAAAGGTAGTGTTATGTGCTCCCTTGTGAGCTCCATTTTCTTTATAATAACAATATTTTAGCTAGTCGCCTATTCTCCATATGGCCCTAACCTTTCACAAACTGTTCCCAAGAACAAAGCATAAGTGTTTTTCTGTACCTCCTTTCATCCTGCTGTATGAAGGCGTAGGCGGTGTTAAAAAATAATCAATTTCTCTGGCGGTTTTACTTCTCCCTGCCCGAGTTATTAAGGTTTTAAGAGAGAGGTTTGCCGTCACTGTGGATTGTTGTTAGCTTGCAATATGCTATCCAACCCCCTGATGACAGGAGTGCATTAGTGAGAGCAGGAAAATGGAGGAGACGTTGCAGGAACAGAGAGGGAAACATGCTTTTTTTCTTTCTTCCTCTGCTAGATTTAAAGTATAGACTGATTGTGAAGACTGCAGAGTCAACTGTTACGTGAAGCAGCAAACTTCCGAAGCTTTCCCAAATTAGAGTGGTTGTGCGGAGCCAAGTGTATCGATCCACCAACTGCATTTCATGGGATTATTTTTACTTTTTATTTACCCGTTATTAGGGAGATCTGGTCAAGCCTGTAGAATGAGGTTAGACAGAATAACAATAACAAGTATTACATAGAAAAAGAGCGCTTTGCATTTATTGATTTCAACCATTCGTCCATTTCCGTTTGTCTTTCTTGGAATTTGACATACTCAGTGGTGAGAGTATTTCTGCCATGCTTGCAGTAAATTCGTTTTTTTCAGGTCCTTTCATGTTTTTTTGTAAGATGTTGACCTCTGACCTTTGACATTTTTGCCTTTTTCCGCCAAGTATGACACATTTACCCTTCAGCGGTTCTTCCACTATAACTTACCGTTTAAAAAGACAATCTCTTAATGAGTTTTACCCTCAGATTATTCTGAATGTAGCTTTTACTCCTTTAATCCAACATTGCTCTAAACAGATATTGTTAACTGTGATGGTTATTCTCGCGTCCAGGAAAGAGAAGCTTAAAAAGGAGACTAAATGGAGTCTCTGAGATGTTTTCAAATTGGTACTTTAATTAATAAAAAGCGTGGTACAGTCACAAACAGGATATTGTCCGACAGAAAAGCAGCTGTCTCTGGCCCTCGCTAGCAGAGAAAAGAGGCCGAACCGCTCAGGTGCTGCTCTTATATAGCTTCTGTAGGCTCCTCCCTGCGGGTCGGCCCTCCACATCTTAATGTCCGTTGTTACGTTAAACAGAGGATTCAGGCTTTGTACATTCAATATATACTTAAACACGACTCTTCTCCTCATATTGTCTTTCATCACTTTTCCTTTAACACATTCTAAACGTTGTAGTTAATATTCTAGAAAATACTTCACGGCTGGTTTGGTTTCTGGTCATTCCGGATGTTGTCACATCTTACCCACGTCTGTAAACAATAACTTTATTCAAAGAAACTATACCTTCATTTAATATTCAGCAATAATAATACTTCTATAGTTGCAGTGTTAAAATCAGTAGGTTTCGGTGTGCATCACTCCATGTCATTTCGCTACTAAATTAACCTCTATAAGAAATGGTAAACTAGCCACATGCTAACCGGAGATGACGGATTTTCAGAATAAAAGCTTAACTGGTTGTGCACAATAATTTTCTGGTTTTTCAGTATAAAACAGCATTTAAACTGAAGGTACATTTAAGGTACTTTATGCCATCAAAACATTGATTTTAATTTCTAACAATATTGCATTTTTTATCAAGACTTGCTGCCTAGAATACCAATAATTCAACGTTGTTGTTGACAGTCTGGTCCTTGAATGTATTGTGTTATGCTAATAGCGGCTAATGTAGCATAGAGCAGCTAGCCTCAAGCGTTTTATATTTTCAAACTTGTAGACTTCACACTTTCTCCCCACCTGTCACTTCCTAAAGTGATATGACTTGAGGCAGTTTGTAAGCAAAGCTCCATTTGATGCCACACAATGCTTTACACAACTTATTTTCATATTTGCAATAGTTCTCTTTTAAAACAGACATTAGTGGAGTCCCAATACCTGTATTTGCTTTGCTCTTTACAACATCGAGAAACCTTGACAGCCTCCAATGTTTGTAATCCAATGTTTGGCTTCTGCTGAATGTCCATTTAAGAAGCAGAGGTAATTCATCTAGTTATAAGAAAGCGTGCAAATAAGATGTTGCCTCTTACAAGAACACATGTTGGTGGCATGGCTGTTGGACCAACCCAGTCTCACGGCATTTCGTGTTCACCAACACGATTTTTAATCTATTGATTCGTGTTCACCAACACGATTTGCCCCTTTTTTTCGTGTTGCACAGCACGACTTTAAAAGCAATGTATTTCTACTGCCTGCAGCACGTCTTTTTCTCCGGTCGGGTCGAGGAAGACCGGAAGCTGTGTGGTTCATAAAAACATGTTCTTACTCAATATCAAGCCACAGTTATTGCTTTTATTTGAAATCGTATAATTTCTGACTTTTGTTGCCGTCTGTGAGGAAAATAAATGGGGCTCAGAGCCTCAGAATACGGAAATCTGTATTTTTAAATATTTGTTTCCTTCTAATTCGATATTCTTTTCAAAATAACACACTGTTATTTACTCACCAATAACACACAATTATCCTTGCTTTTATTTATTGGTTTAATTCCATAATCTCGGGCTTTTTTGGCGTCCGTCAGGAACTGAATTTCAAAATAAAAATAACCGGAAACAGACGTTTACATAAGGGACATTTCGAGCATCATTGCGATTGTCAACATTTCTGAGTTTAGGATGGCCGAAGACACTACACTACCCATAATCCCCAGCTATCGTTTAGGACTACAGTCCCCGTAAGGTTATGCAGAGCGTCAAACAGCTGTGTGAAATGGAACGAAACCACGCCAGACTATCCAAAACTGGAATCGAACGTCCCCCCAGAACTACACATGCTGGCTATTGTGTTTCGCAACATGTTCTATGGGACGTCTCTACTGAACGTTTTCGTTTTTCCCACAATTAGAAGTTGCCAGTATTAAACACATTGGTGTTATCAAATGTAAAACATATAATTAATAAATGGGTGAAAATCGCTTGTGTCCATAATGCGCAGCATTAATACCCACATGACAGCTCATTGTTACTTTGTAATTCTACTCCACTACAATTCAGAGGTTAACCTGGTATTTTTACTCCACTGCATTTATTTGAGTTACTTTGCAGATTCTGATTAATTATGTAAAATATAAACAACCCTTAAATCAGACTTTAGTTACACCTGAGTAACATTCAGGTAAGGTGATTGTCAAGTGCCAACAATTAGGAGAGATATTTGATAGTTGGTGCTTGAGAAGACTAAACATGTATCTGCAATTGACATGAATGGAAACGAGTAATAAAGTATATTCATTACTCGTTATTCTCTACTAATAGTTAATTAAAGACTGTATATTATGGCTATTTTGCACATCCCTTTCAAGATTTTCAAAGGTGTATTGACATATCATATACACAACTACGGTGTAGTTATGCAATGAATGAAACACTTGGGTCACAGGTTCCTCAACAGTGGAACAAGACATCTATCAATATGTGTGTACCTCCACCATTAAACTGTCATATTCTGCACATTTCTTATTCTATCTACATACATAAGAGTATAATTCATATGTATAATATCAGTTAAAATAAGTGCTTCAACATAGTTAACATTGCAGGAAAGCAATATATTAGACGTTAAGTACTTTGTCAGGCTTAATATTTATCTGTAGATAGATACCCCCAAAGTTTTTTTCTTATTTAAAAGAAGACCTTAATCTGTTATTTAATGTTTAAATAAAGGTTAATTCGTTTTTCTGTTTTGCACCTCCTCCTATTAATATCTTTGTACATTCTGCACTAAACTGTTTTATTGTAGAGATCACTTATAGTATCTTCTTGATTTTTTATATTCTATATTTATACTTTCCCCCTATGAAAGTATGTACTCTTAATATGTTTTTAATCAAATAAAACACAATAATTCAATAACGTGCTTTAACCACTAGGCGGTGCACACAAGGTACACACAGCCATAATAACTTTGTATTATTAGTGTAGGACACTTTTGTTTTCGTACAACATCGGAAAATGTGTAGTTTTATGCATGCTTTCACATAATTTTACAGCATATTGCTATACTATTTCAGACTCAGTATTTACATTCTTACATTCAAAGAAAATCAGTAATATCTTTAAAAACTACAGTCCTTTTATATCAGCTGTGCACCGTTATGGTGTAAATATAACCTATCTGTGAATTAGATCAAATGTAAAAGTCAGCCGAATTAGTGTTGAGAGACGTATTGTGTGAAGAGAAATTGAAGATGTTGTTTAATTGTTGAATATATTTATGATCCACGTCAAGTATTCAGTTTCGGCGGCCTTTTCTCAGTTTTTCCAAAGGTCTTCTCATCAGGGCTCTATAAATAAAGAACTATGGCAGATCTGTAATATACAATGCAGCCGAACCGTGTATTACAATGCCGTTATGTGATGACTTTCAAAGAGAAAAGCAAGAGCGCTCGGAATTAAGTATTATTTTATTCTTTTAAAATGTTTTGCGGATTTCATATCATATAAACACCAAATCCCAGCATGCATTGCGGCTAAAACA